AAAGGCCCTTCCAGTTTTTCCTGGTTCCCTCTCTCGTTGCTAGGAACCCACAGCTGTTCTTGCTCACATCCCCAAACTCACTTTCCTCCTGTCCCACTCCCTGTCGTTGCTATGGTCCGCTGCTGTTGCTATGGTCCGCTGCTGTTGCTAGACACCCACAGATCCTCCAGGGCTACCTCTGCACTTCTCTAAGTCCCCCTCGTCGCTAGTCACCGCCTTCACCTCTGTTGCTAGGCGCCCACAATTCCTCCCAAGTCCCCCTACCCCTTACTGGGCACCTCCCCCAGTTGCTAAGCACTCACTCACTGTTTCCCGACTCCGGGTCCGCAGTGCGCGGGCACTCTTGTGCTTCCGGCCTCCGCACGCCTGCCCTCTCCAGTCAACTAGCCAATGGCGACGCAGCAGCTCGCTGACTGGCACAAAGAACTCCCAGCTGTGTGTAGGGGGCGGGGTGGGGCGGAGCCTAAGGGTGGGCCTTGGGGCGGGCGGGGGATTGCTGGGGCTAAGCGCGGAGCACGCACGTGCGTTTTTATGCTCTTCCATTCATCTCAAAGTGCTACGTGTGCCGCGGACCTTTCTGTTCCTTGCACCGTCTCCTTTGAAGTATCCCTCTCCCTTACACACTTCATACCTCTCCTCTTCACGAACATCTTGTGAACCTCCTTGTTTATTTCTACCCCCAGCAGGCTCAACATCTCTCCTTTGAGCACACATCTTCCCAGCAAACATTCCCGTGCACATCCGCCCTCTGCTTCAAACACCCACACCCTGGCACCCAGCCTCCTCCCTTGCACATATAAACCTTATTAAGCCTAGCTTGCCAATGGTCTCCCTCTTGTACCTTCAGATCTGCCCCCTGTAAATAACCGCCCCCCCATACTCAGCCTCTTGCACACTGGGCCCCTGTTCCCTCATACTCCCTGCTCTCTCTGCTCCCCTCCCACCTGCAGGATGGTCTGAGTGGGACCCCTCTGTTTCCTGTAGGCCTGACATTTCCCAGAACACACTTCAGCCAAGATTCCCAGTGCTGAGTCAGAAGACTTGGCATCCCAGAAAACCAGCTCCCAGCCCATCTGGGTGTGTGTGTCTTGGTGGGGGGTGGAGAGGGGTGCAGGTCAGCTTAAAGCCTGCTCTCCCCACAACAGGCTGATTCACTCCTCTTCTCAGAGTCTGGGATAGAGGCAGCTGGCTGGGTTCTCTCTTCCACTGCTGGGAGGAGGATGTGACGCTTCCTCCACAGAACTCCTGCCCCAGTCTAACCCCTTTGTCAGGAATTAGATATCCCTGTCTCTGTCCCTGTGCTATGTGACCTCAGAAGTGCTTTTAGCCTTTCTGAACCGCATTTTCCCAGCCTGTATCATGTGTTAGGGAGTCCCTGCTATGACTTCCCATGGGTCTGGGAAGAGATGACTCATTTTAGAGACCTAGGCCTAGGTCCAATGCCCCTCCTACAGGTGACTCAATTTCAAGACAAAAACCACCACTTGTCCCCCTCCAGACATAAGGGTCTGACTCAGGATCTGGGTGACAGCTCACTCTTGAAGGAAAAAATATATAAAAAGTACCTATGACAACTAAATCACAGGACCGTGGCAGATGGTGCCATGCCTAGCACCACATGTTTCACCTGCATGAGGTTATATAAACAAAGGCTAGAAGCTAGCAGACCTCTCAGTGTCTGTAAAATGGGGCTGTGGCATCAACTCTTGATCAGTGTTAGTGAGAAAGATACAATGTAATAGTGACTGTAAGGAGCACAGGTCCTGGTACAGAAAAAGAAATGTCTTTTTTTTTTTTGGTATGTGCCCCTAGTGGGAACTGAACCCGGGACTCTCTGGTCCTCAGGCAGACGCTCAACTGCTGAGCCAAACAGGCCAGGGCCAGAAAAAGAAATTTCTTATGGAAAAATCATTCTGTTCAAATTTCTATTAAGCATCTACTATGTGCTTTTCTAGGCACTGGGGACATAGCAAGGAACAGAACAAGCAAAAAAATTTGCCCTCTTGATCCTGGCTTCTGGTGAAGGGCACAATAAACAAATAAGTACAGGCATATCTGTATTGTGCTTTGACAATACTGTGTTCTTTTTTTAAATCCTCACTCGAGGACATGCTTAGAGAGAGGAGGGGGGGGGGGAGAGGGAGATGGAAACATTGATGTGATGTGATGTGATGTGATGTGATGTGATGTGATGTGATGTAGAAACGTTGATCCCAGAATGGGGATCAAACCCACAACACAGGTATGTACCCTGACTGGGAATTCACCCAGCCACCTCTCCGTTCATGGGGCGACACTCAACCAACTAAGCCACTCTGGCTGGGCAATAATATTGCGTTTTTACAAATTGAAGGCTTGTGGCAACCTTGCGTTGAACAAGTCTATGGGCACCATTTTTCCAATAGGCTCAGGTGGTTGTTAGCGTTTTTAATCAATAACATATTTTTAAAAATTTATCTTTATATTGCTGTGGCCGGTTTGGCTCAGCAGTTAGAGCATCAGCCTGCGGTCCAGAGAGACCCAGGTTTGGTTCCCGCTAAGGGCATGTACCTCGGTTGCAGTTTGTCCCCGGCCCCGGTTGGGGTCGTGTGGGTGGCAACCAGTAAATGTGTCTCTCTCACATCGATGTTTCTCTCCCTCTCTCCCTCCTGCTCTATCTGAAGATAAATACAAAAAGTGTCCTGGGGTGAGGATAAAAAAAATTATCTTTATTGTTGAATATATTACAGATATCTCCCCTAGCAAAGTATTTTTTTTTTTAAGAGTAAGACCTTTCTCTTTTTATCCTCACCCGAGGATATTTTTTTTTTTTCATTTATGTTCAGATAGAGCGAGAGGGAGAGAGGGGGGAAGAGAGAGAGAAACATCAACGTGAGAGAAACACATTGACTGGCTGCCACCCACACGACCTCAACCAGGGCTGGGGACAAACTGCAACCTAGGTACATGCCCCTAGCAAGAACCGAACCTGGGACTTTCCGGTCCGCAGGCCGATGCTCCAACCGCTGAGCCAAACCAGCAGGGCAAGAGTAAGACCTTTTTCTTTAGATTATTTTTCTTTATTGCTTTTAGAGAGAGAGGAAGGCAGAAGGGCAGAGAGATAGAAACATCGATGGGAGAGAACATCCACTGGCCACCTCCTGCATGCTTCCCACTGGGGATCGGGCCCACAACTTGGGCATGTGCCCTGACGGGAAATCGAACCAGCAACCTCTTGATGCATGGGTCCATGCTCAACCACTGAGCCACACCAGCCGGGCAGTAAAGTATTTTTTTAATTAGGGTATGTACATTGGTTTTTATTTTTGGACTTAATGCTATCGCACACTCAGTAGACTACAGTATAGTGTAAAGGTAACTTTTACATGCATTAGGAAACCAAAAAATTCCTTAACTTACTTTATTATGATATTCACTTCATTGTGGTGGTCTGGAATCAAACCCACAATATCTCTGTTGTATGCCGGTATGTTTATAAGGTGACATGTGTTAAAGAGAAAAATAAACCTGGGAAGGGGGTCTGGGAGTGGAAGGAAGAATCTAAGATTAAATAGGGTGGACAGAGAAGGCCTCGCTGAGGAGCTGACATTGAAACAAAGACTTGAAGAAGGTGAGGGAGGGAACTTGAATATCTGAGGGAAGGGTGTTCCAGGCAGAGGGAGCAACAAGTGCAAAAGCCCTGTGGTGGAAGATGTCTCAGAGAAATAGCAGAGGCCAATGGGCAGAGTGGGTGAAGGGAAAAGACAGAGGAGATCTGGTCTGGGAGGTACCGGAGCCAGATCACATAGAGTGTAGTGAGGCATGGTGAGGACTGTGGCTTTTGCTCTGAGTAGAAATGGGAAACATGGAGTTGTTCTGAACAGGAAGGGTCATGATCTGATTTAGAGAAAATACTCATATTTCTGGCTCCTCTTCCAACACCCCAGCCTCAAAAACAAATTATATCACCCAGTAAGGGACCCAAAGCTCAGACTTTGGATTAGGTTGGCCTGGGTTCAAATCTACCCAATTTAGACATATGATCTTGGACTTTGCCTTTCTGTTGCCTTTGTTTCCCTGACCATGGGTGATGGTGATTCCTACCTCACAAGGTATGGGGTATAAAGTGGTAAGTGCATGGCACAAAGAAAGTACACAAATGTATATGTTGTTGTAAATAAGTAAAAATTCTCATAATTTGGTGAGGAAATTATCATTGCTACCCCCTTTTTACAGATGAGGAGACTGAGGCTCAGAGGAAACAAGTCTTTTGGAGCCAGGATTTGGCTAAGTGTCCTTGCTTCAGAGTTAAGGCCCTTGCTTGCTCCTCATCTAACCTCCCTTTGACCTTAGACAAATTCTTTCACTGCTCTGGGCCTCAATTTCCCTGTTGGTAAAGTGCTTGGCTCTTGTGGCATTTAACACACATTTTTCGAAACAATCAAATAATAATATGTATTTTACCAGGTGACAAAACTGAGCCCTGGTAGGGAGCGTAAATCACTCGTTCAAGGTAACACAGCTAGGAAGTGGCAGAGGCGCGTCTCGAACTCACACAATCCTGGGATTCTCAAGTCTTTGGAGCACAGTCCCTGCCTGTGAAGAAAGGGTACGGGTACGGTGCTGGACTCATCACCGAGAGTTACAGGGAGACTTAGTTGGTCACTCGAGGGTGTAGGGAGATTAGATTAGTCGCGGGAATCCAGGGAGGGGCCCCACTGGGCCGCAACCAGGACCCCAAGGGGCCCAGACCCTACCGGGACAAGCGTGGGGCGCTGGGAATCACCTGCTCCAAGGCGGGGGCGGGGCCAGGCGAGACCCGCCCTCTTACGCCACGTCCTGTGGGCGGGGCTCCGGGGCTTTCCCTGGCGGGGAGTATCGGTTAACCACTGCGTGGCCTGGCGGACTGGAGATCCGCGGGCCGGAACCCGCGCGTCGGGGCTCCCCGGCCACACCCCTCTCGGGATTTAAAGGGCCAGGAGGGACTGGGTTGGGCCGAAGTCCGAACTGAGGGAGCGGTCATGAGACGCTGCCCGTGCCGGGGGAGTCTGAACGAGGCCGAGGCCCGGGCGCTGCCGGGGGCGGCCCGCATGGGGCTGGAGGCGCCGCGAGGGGGGCGGCGGCGGCAGCCCGGGCAGCAGCGACCGGGGCCCGGCGCCGGGGGTCCGGCGGGGCGGCCGGAGTGGGGCGGGCCCCGGGCCGGGACCAAGGGGTCCTGCCTCCACTCGGAACGCGAGAAGGCCGGGCCCGGACCTGGGACAGACAGACGGGCTGAGCCTGAAGCAGCTGGCCTCGGAGCGGAGACGGAGCGGCCCAGCCAAAAGACGGAGCCCGACAAGTCCAGCCTCCGGACACATCGAGAAAGGAGCAGCCCCTGGTCTGAGCTGGAGACACCCGGTCCCTGGACGGATGGATTTTGTGCTGATCCACGCAGGTCCAACTTCCAGTCTCAGCCAGAGAGGGCCAGACTCTGGACACAGCCAGGCGTTGATGGGCCCCGGACAGAGTTAGAAATTCATGGGTCACAGACCCAGCCAGAGAGGTCCAAGCCCCGGGCTGATCACGTCTGGACCCACGAGAAGAGGTCCAGCCTTCAGACTCAGCCAGAGGGGGCCTGGAGGGAACTATACGTTGACGGCTCCAGGACACAACAGGGTACTGAAGGTCCCTGGACAGAGCCTCACACTGATGGGCCCCAGATACAACAGGATACTGAAACAGCCTGGAAGCAGGTTGGCGCTGATGGTTTCCCAACACAACAAGCTACTTATGGCTCCTGGACACAGCCTGGCACTGATGGTGCGCAGACACAAGAGACTCCTGGACCCCGGACAGAGCCTGGGACAGACTGCCTTTTGGGAGAGCCCAACCAAGATGGCCCATTAGCGGAATCAGAACCTGGGGAGTTGGCGACTCACCTGTACTCTCACCTGGGGTATAACTCCCTGACCCCTGTGCCCCGCCTCATCATCACTCCTGAAACTCCTGAGCCTGAGGCTCAGCCATTGGGACTCCCCTCCAGGGTTGAGGTGGGCAGTGGCGGCTTCTCCTCTGCCTCCTCTTTCGACGAGTCTGAGGATGACGTGGTGGCCGGGGGTGGAGGTTCCAGCGACCCTGAGGACAGGTCTGGGGTGAGTGGGACCCATCCTGCGCTTGAGCCCCCCCCCCCCCCTTATTCCCCTGCCTTTGCTTTGAGAAGTTCTCTAGCACCTACCAGCAGTTTCATCTCCAGGTACTTCTTCCATCCATTTACCTCCTTCCTCTGACAGCTGGGTTACCAACCCACTGTAGGTACCCTCCTCCTCATCCTCTCACCCCTCACCCACTGCCTCCAGTTCTGAAATCTCAAATGGACGGCCACTGGCAGACTCCATGCCCAGGAATCATATGGTAGTATGAGTCTGTGTGTGTGTATACACAGTTTTTCAGCAAGTGTCCATGACTTCTGTTGGATCCTCTGGGCTGTGATGTGTGATCCCCAAATCTGCAGAGCACTAGTATTGGGGGACAGAAAAAGTGCACTTTCTACTGCAGATTTCCTAGTCTGGGGCCTGTGGCTGTCTTAAGGGGTCCTGAACCTTCCCCATCCTTAGCCCATTCACATTTGTAAGGAGTGAGCCCCCAGCTTGTATCAGATTCACAAAAGGTTGTGTAAACCCAAAATGCTCAGGAACCCCCCACCCTAGCCAGAGACCCCCAGTCTCCCCATTGTCCCCCACCTCCCTAGGGGGCCCCAGCTGACTCTTGTTTACATCTTTCACTCTCACCCCCAGCTCGGGTGTGGTTCTCCCCTGGTGAATCAGGAGGGTTGGCAGGGCAGGTTCAGGAGAGAGTCAGTGAAGAATCAGGTGTGACAGCCTTCCATGGTCTGCCCATTGGGTCCTGCCATTGTTCTGGGGCCCCTGGCTTAAGTCTACCCCAGCCCCCCCCTTACCCCACATGCCTCCCTTAAGTACATGCTCACACATGTGGCCACAGACATCGGAGACAGATCTGCCTCAACCTGCCTATGCCAGAGCAAGGGAGTTGACCCACGGGCTGTCTGCCATGGCCATTCCCTCTGCCTACTCTCACCTGCTTGGCATCTCAGATCAGCTGAGCTAGAAGTGGGTGAAAAAAAACCACTCACGTCCAGCCCTGTGCTAAGTTCCTTGTTCATGTTAACTCATTTAATTCTCACAGCAGCCCTAGAGGTAGATGCTATTATTATCTCATTTTATAGACGAGGAAACTGAGGCACAGAGAAGTCAAAGACGCTTGTCCAAAGTCACGTGTACTTTGGAGACACAGAGCTGAGATTCAGACCCTTACTGAATACCAGTCACTTTTCTAAGTGTTTTATATATGTTAATTCTTTGAATCCCTATAACAGCACTATGAGATTGGGATTATTGTTATTTCCATTTTATTTTATTTTATTTTTTTAGTTTTTTTTTAATCCTCACCCGAGGACATTTTTCCATTTTTTATTCAGATAGAGTGGTAGAGAGAGAGAGGAAAAGAGAGAAACATCGATGTGAAAGGGACACATCGAGTGACTGCCACCTGCACGACCAACCAGGGCCAGGGACAAACTGCAACCGAGGTACGTGCCCTTAGTGGGAACTGAACCCGGGTCTCTCTGGACTTGCAGGGCGACGCTCTAACTGCTGAGCCAAACCAGCCAGGGCTTTTATTTCCATTTTAGAGATGAGGAAACTGAGGCCTAGGGAGGTGAAGTCACTTGCTTAGGGTTGGCGAAGTCTGGTTGGATCCAGAACTGAGGCTTCTAACTCAGTTCTGGGTGAGTTTAAAACCCAGTTATTTTAACCCCGCGGTGTGTGGATCTGTCCCTAACTTACTTTCCTCCCAGGTCTCCTGTCTCCAGTTTTTTCTCATCCTTCTAGAATCTTCCTCAGTGGCCCACCTCTGATCACCTTTTGAACTTTGCCTGTTCCAGAGTTTCTGATGGCTCCCCAGGGCCTTCCCGATAGCAATCAGGAGTTCAGTCCTGTGTTCAGAGTTTCCTGTCTCCAGGCTCCTTCCCATGTTCAGCTTCCCCACTCCCCCCACCCCCCTGCGGTAACAAAGCCGAAGTACACACTGTTCCTCGAACACCATGCCACCATCCTGCCACCACTCATTGCTCAAGCTGTTCCCACTGCGCAGAATACCCTTGCTTCCTTCTCACTTCATTTTGAAATCCCATCTGACTTTAAAGGTCCAGCTACTTGCTTCTTTTCCTCCCTCCTCCCTTCCTTCCATTCTGTCCTAATCAGACAACGAACAGTCCCTGAGCCCCTACTTTGTGTCTGGCCCTATGTTGGCTTTGCTGAGGACACAGCAGTGATCGAGACACTACCCTCATGGAGCTCCCAGGACCACGGAGGGGACACTAGGCTGGGACAGCTCAGAGTGGTCAGGGCTGGGGTGGAGGAATCCCAGGAGGTTGTGGGAGTTCAGAGGAGGTGACAGGCCAGACCTTGGCTATCAGAGAAGGCTTTCAGGAGGAGGGGACATGTGAACTGAGACCATCATGAAACCATCTGAGAAAGCCCAGATTAACCATCAGATCTAAGAGAGAGAATATACTGAATCTGCTTACAATGAAAACGAAAACAAAAAAGATGGTTTCAGCCAACCTACTTCAAGCAACATTTTTGGAGCACCTATTGTGTGCCAGGCCATGGACTGGGACACAGTTGTAATCATGACTGTGTGTTCTCGGCAAGTGACTTCACCCCTCTGAGCCTCTGTTTCTTCCTCTGTGACAGAGTCAACAATTCTCCTGGGGCTGTGTGTTTAGGATTAAGTAGGTTATGGCACACTGAGTCTTTGTCATTATGCCTGGAATGTTCCAGGTGCTTAGTAAACAGGAACCTTTATTAATCACCTCCTCTCCACTGCCAGCAGCTGGAAGGGGTAGGGGGCAGGAAGTCGCTCTTTCTGAATCCTGCAGTCCAACACCCCGACTCTGCTTGACCTTCCCACTGCAATTAGATGGACATCTAATTGATGTCTAGGTAGCTGGGCTCTGAGGGGTTGGGAGAGAGCATGGCCTTGACCCTGGAATGGTGGGGGTAGGAGGGATGAGCAACACAGCTTCCTTCTCTGGAGATGACCCATTCTCCCAATACTTGCTAAGGACTTGCTCTGTACTTGGAGCAAAGAATGTATTTGTGTGTGTGCACGCGTGCCTTCGCACACGTGTGAATCAGACACTCAGTCTCAAGAAGCTCTTGGTTGAGTCAACATGATATAACTAAATCCTTGTTACAGGTTTGCTTCTCTGGTTTTCTGTTATTGCTCTTTCTGTAATCTGTTTCTATCTTTCTCTCCCTGTCATTACTTTGTATCTGTCTCCCTGTCTGTCTTTCTCTTCTGGTAACTCTGTGTCTGTCTCTGTTGTTCAGAATAGGTCAGGATTTGCTGTGGTAACAACCCCAAAACTTAGTGATTTAGAACAACAAAGGATTATTTTTGTTCATCCTTCATGTTGACTATGGTCAGTGGTGGGTAAGGGGCTGAGGAAGCCTCCATTTCTCTTTCTGTCCTTTCTACAGTAAGGAAAAGGTCATGGAGAGAGCGTTGGCCTGTGGTCTGGAGAGACCCGGGTTCGGTTCCTGCTAAGGGCACGTGTCTCGGTTGCAGTTTGTCCCCGGCCCTGGTTGGGTCGTGTGGGTGGCAGCCACTCGATGTGTCCCTTTCATGTCGATGTTTCTCTTTCTCTCTCTCTCCCTCCCACTCTGTCTGAACAAAATATTGAAAAATGTCCTCGGGTGAGGATAAAAAAAAAAGACTTTTGACCAAAAGTGACACTTCTGCTTATATTTCATTGGCCATAGCAAGTCAATAACCCTGAGTTCAAGAGGGCAAGGACATGCCTGCCATGGGGAGGGCTGGAGCTGTTTGGTGAGCAGCTCTCAGGACTGCCACGTCTCTGTCTCTGTCCATGTCTCTCTGTCTCTGTCTTCGTTTCTTCTCTCTCTGTGATTTGGCCTCCATTCATCAACTCCTGCCTCTGTCATTTTCCCTGGAAAGTCTGACTTGGTTTTGGGACAGAGATGAGGCTTCGAAGTTTTTGGTGTGTGTGTGTGTGAGAGATTTGGGGGTTGCTTGTTACTGCAACAAAACCTGGCCTATTTTGACTCATTGGGTGAAGGACAGAGAGACACAGATATAAAGGAAGAAATGGACAGAGGCTCTTTCCCACCTTTGTGGAGGACTTTGGGGGATGTTGTGATTGCTGGAGTAAGTGGGCTTGGCTCACCCCAACCAGCTGGGAGCACTGATCCCAGGAAGCCCCTGGCCTTGGAAAGGTCCCAGGTCCACCTTCATTCCCTCTCTGGCAGTAACTGCACCCCCTGCCCTCCCCGGCTGCGGTCCTGACCCCACCCTGCTCTGCCCTACACAGAACAAACCCTGGAAGAAGCTGAAGACAGTTCTGAAGTATTCGCCCTTCGTGGTCTCCTTCCGAAAACACTACCCTTGGGTCCAGCTGTCCGGACACGCTGGTGAGAGCAGGGGAAGGTGGAGGGCAGGGGGCAGACAGGGCTGGGCAGAGAGGCCTGGTTGGGGAGAGAAAGCTACAGAACTGCTCTCTAGTTTAGTTTCCCTGTTCGTGAAATGGGCTTGTGACAGCCCTCATCTCATGAGGTTGTTATTGGAAGTGCTTAGACCTGGGCTGGACCATGTATACATCAGAATTGAGGGCTGTTCTCTGTTATCTCACTGTTGGTGTGTGTGTGTGTGTCCTCAACCCTAGGGACCAGTGGACCTGGGCTTAAATCCTAGTTCTGCTCTTTATTTGTGGGGGACCCTGGGCAAGTTACTTTCCCTCAGTGGGCCTCAGTTTCCTTATCTGTAATATGGAGATAATTGTCCCTCCCTTGCAGAGTTAACTGAAGGGTTAAAATCAAAGTGTGTATTGGGACTGAAACACAGGCCCCTCATATATGGAAATTATCATTCCTTGTCCTTGCCCTGTGTCCAGAGCTTAGTAGGCCCCTAGTAAATTACAGCTGTAATGGTTTCTCCCCAGGGCCTAGCACAATATCTCCAGCACATAGTGACACAATGCCTAGCATATGCCTAACATATAGCATTTTTTAAAAAAAAGTATTATTTTCTTTATTGACGTTAGAGAAAGAGGAAGGGAGAGGGAGAGAGAGATAGAAACATCGATGAGAGAGAACATCGATTGGCCACCTCCTGCATGCCCCCCACTGGGATCAGGCTCACAATCTGGGCGTACTCTGACGGGGAATTGAACTGTCAACCTCCCGGTGCATGGATCGACGCTCAACCACTGAGTCACACTGGCCGGGAAACATATAGCATTTTAAAAAATAGGTTTTTATTGCCCTGGCCGGTTTGGCTCAGCGGTTGGAGTGTTGGCCTGCGGTACAGAGAGACCCGGGTTCGGTTCCCACTAAGGGCATGTACCTCGGTTGCAGTTTGTCCCCGGCCCTCGTTGGTCGTGCGGGTGGCAGCCACTCGATGTGTCCCTTCATGTTGATGTTTCTCTCTCTCTCTCTTCCTCTCTCTCCCTCCCGCTCTATCTGAACAAAAAATGGAAGAATGTCCTCGGGTGAGGATAAAAAAAAAAAAAAATAGGTTTTTATTTATTATTTTAGAGAGAGGGGAAGGGAGAGAGAGAAACATCGATGTGAGAGAGAAACACTGATTGGTTGCCTCCTGCACACCCTCTACCTGGGATCAAGCCTACAACCCGGGCATGTGCCCTGACTGGGAATTGAAGTGGGACCTCTCAGTCCATGGGATGACACTCAGTCCACTGAGCCACATTGGCTGGGCACATAAAGCATTTTTTGTAAAGGACCAGATAATAAGTAAACTATTCAAGTGCAGTGGCCACATGAAAGCAGCCATAGATAATACATAAACATGTAAGTGTGTCTATGTTCCAATAAGACTCTATTTACAAAAAAAGGCAGTGGGTTGGACTAAACAAACCGTGCCTACTAGCAAAGAGAGACAGGAAGGGAACTCATCTACTTTGTTCATCCTTAGATCTGAGTCACAGAAAAGGCAAGGCCCCCTGAAACTGGAAACACAGGCTTGCCATCAATATGTGTCCTAGTTACTATTGCAGAGTTAAAAACAAACAAGCAAAAACTCAAAACTTAGTAGTGGTTTAAAAAAATTTAGTGAAATCAAAGTACCATTTTATTACACTCACAGGTTGTGGGCTTGGGAATTCAGACGGCATGGCAGGGGTGGCTTGTTGCTGCTCTATGATATCTGGGAACTCAGCTCAGAAAACTTGAAGACTGCAAGCTGGAAACTTGTGGAGGGTTATTCACTCACATGCTTGGTAACTGATGTTAACTGTTGGCTAGGTTTCAGTTGGGACTCCTGGCAGGAAAACCTATGTGTGGCTTCTCCATGTAGCTGCTTGGGCTTCCTCACAGTATGGTGGCCACAAGTAGCAAGATTTCTTACATGGCAGCTCAGGACTGCAAAGTATCTCTGCCAACACAGTGGAAGCTGCATCTCCTTTTATGACCAGTCTTTGAGGTCATACAGTGTTGCTTCTGCCATAAACCCACCCAGATTAAAGGGGAGAAGAATGAGATTTCACCTCTTTCTGGGGAATGGCAAAATTCTAGAAGAGTATGTAGGACAGGAGCTATTGTTGTACCACCTTTGGAAAATATAATCTGAAAATACAGTCTGCTTCAGTAAGAATTGTAATTCTAATCTATACTATCTGTATGGTCCAGGAGATGCTAGATTTATAAATTAACTCAAATAGACCCCAGTTGCTGGCACTCTGGGACTCCAGGCAGAAACAAATGCATATCTGCTCTTGAGAGTCAAGCTCTTGACTCAGCTCTCACAAAAATTCCCACAGCTGATTGTGAGTTCACACTCCAAAATTACAAAACAAATGAGGACACAATCTGCTGTGAAGAGGACCTTGTTTAAACAAAGAGCAGAAACAGGCCCTTCCTTTGCGACCCCTGGCCAAGATTTTGAGAGTTGCAGGGGAGAAGAAAGTATTGCAGAAGGGGTCAGGCAAAATGACAGTGGCCAGGATCTGATGCATACGGGAGATGGGGGTTTCTCTTGCTGATACAGTTTCAGTCCCTTTCATTGACTGTGCTGCTCATAGGGAACTTCCAGGCAGGAGAGGATGGTCGGATTCTAAAGCGCTTCTGTCAGTGTGAGCAGCGCAGCCTGGAGCAGCTGATGAACGACCCCCTGAGGCCTTACGTGCCAACCTACTATGGCGTGGTGCAGAAGGATGGCCAGGCCTTCAACCAGATGGAAGATCTCCTGGCGGACTTCGAGGGTCCCTCCATCATGGACTGCAAGATGGGCAGCAGGTGGGGTCAGGAACAGCCCTGAGGCAGAGGTGGAGGGTTAGGGGTGGGCATTTTTGAAGATAGTGCCAAGTCAACCTTTAAAGTGGTTGTACATACTTTCCCACTAGTAGTGAGTGAGAGTTCCAGCTGTTCCATCTTCTCATCAACACTTGGTGTTATCTGTTTTGTTAGTTTTAACCATTTTGGTGAGCATTTCATTATGGTTTTATTTCTGTTTCTCTGATGACCAATGAAGCTCAGTGTTGATTGGCCATTTGAAAAGTGCCTGTTTGAATACTTTGCCCATTTTTCTATTGGGCTGTCTTTTTCATTTTGATTTGTAATGCTTTATATGTTCTGGATACAAGTCCTTCGTGGAGATAACGCATACCTACGCACACATTCTCCAGCCTCCCATTTCACTCTCTTAATACTGTCTTTTGATAAATAGACTTTTAATTTAGTCCAGCTTGTCAGTTCTTTTAATTACGGGTAGTAGCTTTGCGTTTAAGAAATGCCTACTTTGTCACATCCTCTGTGTCCCAGGACCTACCTGGAGGAGGAGCTGGTGAAGGCCCGAGAACGGCCCCGGCCCCGGAAGGACATGTACGAGAAGATGGTGGCTGTGGACCCCGGGGCCCCTACCCCCGAGGAGCACGCCCAGGGTGCCGTCACGAAGCCCCGCTACATGCAGTGGAGGGAGACCGTGAGCTCGACCTCCACCCTGGGCTTCCGCATTGAGGGCATCAAGGTGAGTGCAGGAGCTGCTAGCCCCCTGGGTCTCAAGCCTCCTAATGCCGCGACCCTTTAATACATTCCTCATGTTGTGGTGACCCCCAATCATAAAATTATTTTCGTTGCTACTTCATAGCTGTAATTTTGCTCCTGTTATGAATCACCGTCAGAAATAAGTGTTTCCCGATGGTCTTAGGCGACCCCTGTGAAAGGATTATTTGACCCCCAAAGGGGTCGCCACCCACAGGTTGAGAACTGATGTGCTAGCCTGTCACTGGAGGGCTGGGAACTGGATCTAGGCAGGGCTTCTCAGGGAACATGGTGTCAGGGACAACTGGAAAGGAGCAATCTGGAGCGAGAGCAGGATCCTGCAGAAGGTGAAAAGATGGGGCTAGGACAGGTCCTGCTTCTCTCACCCCCATGTCCATCGGTGACGTTTTGTTCATTTCTCTGCCTGAGCATCTCTTGATTCCATCTTCTTCCCTCCCCTGGCCCTGTTCTAGTCTCGCCCTGTCTTCTCCTTCCCCAGCCTCCTCTGATCCACCACCCAACACAGCAGCTGGAGTAATCCTTTTCCCCCTTATGGAGGGAGATTCCCCCCTCCGTCCCTTCCTCCCGACCGTCCTTTTTGTAAATTAAATCTGATTGTTTGAATAAGTATCCACACCGTTCAAAAGTCAAAATAATGTTATAAAAGAGTGTATAGGGGAAATCTCTCTGCCAACCCTGCTGCTGTCCTTCCCATTCTGTCCCTCCACCCCTCACCTGCTCACGGGGAACCCCTTTATCCGTCTCTTCTATTTCTTCCTGTGAACACAAACACATGCAATGCATATCCTAAAATGCCCTCCCTTCCATACACAAAAGGTGGCATAGTCCTAGAGAGTTTTCATATCATTGCATAGAGTCTCCTCTTTCTTTTCTTTTTCCCTTGCACTGTAAGAGCTCTTTGTGGATGTGCCAGTGTCCCCTAGAGAGGGCCACCCGGGTTGTTTCCATTTTCTGGCATTACAAACGACGTCTCAATGGATCACTGTACGTAAGACATTTTGCAACTGTGAAGGTTTACCTGTGGACTGCAGTCCCAGAAACAGGACTGGGTCAAAGGTGACATGTGTCAGGAATGTTGTAGAGACTGGCCACCCCCCTCCATAGGTGCTGTGGTCACTGCATCCCACCAGCAATATAAGAGCGTGCCTGTCCCCATGGCCTCGCCGGATATAAGTTGTATATTTGACTATGTATTTCTCCTATTTGAAAACCTTCTGTGGCTCCCTAGAGCCCTCAAGAGACATTCCCTGGTCTAGAGGGCCCTCCGGGGTCTAGCTTCATCTCTCATCCCTCTCTTCCTCCTTTTCCACCTTTAGGCTACAGTGAAGCACATTTCCTTGAAAGGTTTCTGCTCCCCTGCCACACGGCCTTTGCACATACTGTTCCCTCTGACAGGCCTGCTCTTCCCCCTACTGTTCCCTGGTTGGCTCCCAGTCATTTTCCTGTCTTTTCACTTCTTCCTTACCCCCCATAACTCCCTGTCCTCCTTCATCATTCTTAACCCCCTTTGTGATGCTCTTGTCAGTATCTGTCCCCCTCATCTGACCGTGTCTGTCCTGTCACCTCCATGTTAGCAGTGCCCACCTGGCACAGCACAGCAGTGTGACCAGGTGGCTCTCTCAGGGATAAAAGATATTAGTCTCATGTATTGAGCGTTTGCTTACCGTGTGCCAGGTACTGTGTTGTGCATCCTATGTACCCTGTCTCTAATCCTGACACCAGCTTTAGCAAGTAGCTACCGACACAATTCCCATGTTCCAGATGAGGAAGCTGAGGTTGAGACAGGTGAAGTGACTTGCTTAAAGCCACCGAGCTAGGAAGTGGCAGAGTTACAATTCACACACAAGAGTTACCCCCCCTCCAGAGCACACCTGGCTAGACCGGCTCAACCAGTGGGTTTAAGGTTAGACTTGGAAGGACTAGCTGCTCAGGAGTATGACTTGGGGCTGGGTTGATCAGAGCCGGGCAGATGAGCTGGCTTCTGCTGAGTGGCCAGTGACCGTAGAGGCAGGCAGGTGGCCCTAGGAGGCGCCTGGGGCTGGTTGGTGTTGGGTATGGGAAGGAAAATTGTGACACCACGCCTTCCATCCTTGTCCTGCAGAAAGCTGATGGGACCTGCAACACCAACTTCAAGAAGACACAGGAGCTGGAGCAGGTGACAAAGGTGTTGGAGGACTTCGTGGATGGGAACCATGGAATCTTGGTGAGTGGGACACCCATGCCCCAAACCTAGCAGTTCAGGACCACCACCATTTTTGTTGCCCCTGTCAATGGTCTTTTGGCTGAAAGTGGCTGGTGTTGCTCACCATCTGTGTTCAGCACATGGCTTGGCCAGGGCTGGCTGGTCTTGGATGGCCCTGCTCATATGCCTGGTGGTCTAGGATGATGCTTTGGCCACTTATCTCTCATGATCCAGCAGGCTAGCCTGGGCTTGTTCTCATGGTGGAAGCAGGTGGCCACGTGAACAAGCTAAGATGGAAGGCCTCTTGATGGCTGAGCCACCCTCATTTCTGCCCTGTTCTATTGGCCAGAGCAAGTCATGACCAAGCCTAGGTTAAAGGGAAACAGACTCCACCTCTTAATGGGAGGAGCTGCTAGGAATTATGGGTATTCATGTACTCCACTAACCTTACCCTTGTCTGTGCCACCCTAGTGTTTCCAAACTCCCCTCCCATTTTCCCCACGGCTCCCCTTATTCCGTCCTGGCTGGGTATGGGACAAGGTCAGATCTCGAGGTGGGTAGGGACCCACAAAGTCCCTATGCTAACCAAGAAACTCTCCCTCTCAAACAGAGAGAGTACGTGGCACGCCTAGAAAAACTTCGTGAAGCTCTGGAGAACTCCCCCTTCTTCAGGACCCATGAGGTGGGAGCCCTGGCCGCATGGGAGCAGAGGGCCCTGTGTGTGCGTGTGAGGTGGGGTGGCTTGGGGTCCAGGCTGCACTGAGGAGAAATCACTGGCAGAATTAAGGTTAAAACAATTAAAAGGAGACCCCTTGTTTTGGGGCATGCCTTTTTAGAGTAGGTAGCACGGGATTTCAGGGAGGTGGGACAGTTAGGAGCATGGACTCAAGCCAGGTGGCCTGGGATGAGGCTGGCCCTGCTGTGTGACCTCTTAGGCCTCAGTTTCCTTCTAAGATGGGAAGGAGAATACTTTCCTTACAGGGCTGCTGAGTGTGAGTTGAGGAACTGTTGAGTGCCATTTGGAGCACAGAAATGCATTTAATTCCTAGCTCTTACAATTGCTTTATAATCATAATTATTTACAATGATTGTTATCTGCATTCCTTGTTCGGTGGCTCTCTCTTCCCCTCTCCCTCCCTTCTGCAGCCTGTCTCTTTGGAAACATTCAGCTCCCTGGGGCTGTCCCAGAAAGTCTGGGAAGTGGTGACAGCACCCCGTGCATCCTCTCCTCCCCTCCTCTGTCCAAGCTCTTCTCCCCTCACCCCCAAGCCCTCTCACCTCCTTCTCCTGCTATCACTGACTTCTGGGAGAGCCCTGATCTGGGAGTCAGGTGGCCTGGGTTCGGACCCCAGCTCTGCAGGCCTGTCTGCTGACCTGCAGGATGTGATAACCTCCTGGGCGACGTGAAGGTTCAATGGATTAATATAGGGAAAGCTTAGCCCATAGTAAACCCTGAGTATGTGCCAGCTGTTAATGTCATATTTCTTATCAAATGTCACCCTCATCATCATTGTCACTGCCTTTGGGCTATACACACGTTGCAAAGAGGAGGCCTGGGGAGCCCATCTCATCTGTTCTTGTGTTTGGTTTCACCTCTTGGTGACTTAACATTTTATTTATTTATTTTTGTTATTTATTGTTTATTTTTTTAACTTATCTTTATTGTTGAACGTATTACAGATGTCCCCCCTTTTTACCCCATTGACCACCTTCTCCCCAGTCCCACCCCCCTCCTGCCTTCCCCACACTATTGTCCGTGTCAGTCAGTTATGCATATATGCGCAGAAGTTCTTTGCTTTATCTCATCCCGCTCTCCCTTCCCCCTTCCCTTTGAGGTTCACCAGTCTAACAACCAATTTGTGCTTCTTAATTCCTTTATTTTTTTCATACATCCCCCCAGCCGTCACCCATCTGGCAAGCAACAAAAAGTTCTCTGTATCTATGAGTCTGTTTCTGTTCTGCTCGCTCATATTGTTTGTAGATTCAATTGTTGATAGATATGTATTAATTGCCATTTTATGTTCATATTTTTGTTCTTCTCCTTCAAAAAGATCCTTCAACGTTTTGTATAATACTGGTTTGGTGGTGATGCATTCCTTTAGCTTTTTCTTGTCTGGGAAACTCTTGATATGTCCATCAATTCTAAATGATAGCTTTGCAGTATAGAGTAATCTTTATTGTAGGTTGTTGCTTTTCATCACTGTGAATCTCTCTTGCCACTCCTTTCTGGCCTGCAAAGATTCTTTTTTTTTTTTTTTTTTATCCTCACCCGAGGATATTTTTCCAATTTTTGTACAGATAGAGTGGGAGGGAGAGAGAGGAAGGGAGAGAGAGACAGAAACATGGACGTGAAGGGACACATCGAGTGGCTGCCACCCGCACGACCAACCAGGGCCAGGGACAAACTGCAACCGAAGTACATGCCCTTAGCGGGAACTGAACCCGGGTCTCTCCGGACCGCAGGCTGACGCTCTAACCGCTGAGCCAAACCGGCCAGGGCTGCAAAGATTCTTTTGAGAAATCAACTGACAGTTTTATGGGAGCTCTGTTGTAGGTAACGAGCTGCTTTTCTCTTGCTGCTTTTAGGATTCTCTCTGTCTTTAACCTTTGGTATTTTGATGATATGTCTTGGTGTGGACCTCTTTGGGTTCATCTTGTTTGGGACTCTGTGCTTCTTGGACTTGTATGTCTATTTCCTTCTCCAAGTTAGGGAAGTTTTCTGTCACTATTTTTTCAAATAGGTTTTCAATTTCTTGCCCTCTCCTCTTTCTGGCACCCCTATGATGCGAATGTCGGCACGCTTTAAGTTGTCCCAGAGGCTCCTTACACTATCCTCATTTTTTGGATTCTTTTTTCTTTTTGCTGTTTTGATTGGGTGTTTTTTGCTTCGTTATATTCCAAATTGATGGTTTGCTTCTTGGCTTTACCTACTCTGCTATTGCTTACCTATAAATTATTCTTTATTTCAGTTAGTGCATCCTTCACTTCTGAATGGTTCTTTTTTATGTTGATGTTCTCACTAAGTTCCTTGGAGGTCTCCTAAAGTTCCTTGAAGGTCTCACTAAGTTCCTTGACTGTCTCACTAAGTTTCTTGAGCATCCTTATAACCAATGTTTTGAACTCTGCCTCTGATTGATTGCTTATCTCCATTTTATTTAGTTCTTTTCCTGGAGTTTTATTCTTTTCTTTCATTTGGGACATGTGTCTTTTTCTCCTCATTTTGGCTGCTTCCCTGTGATTGTTTCTATGTGTTTGGTAGAGTTGCTATGTCTCCTAGGCTATGTAGTGTGGCCTATTGTTGTAGGTGTCCTGTAGGATCCAGTGGCATAGCCTCCCTGATAACCCCAGCTGGGCCCTTGAGGTGTACCTCTCGTGTGGACTGTACACATTCTGTTGTAACTGTGTCTTGATTGCTGTTGGCACATCAGTGGGAGGAATTTACTCAGGCTGATCAGCTACAAGGTCTGGCTGTGCCCACTGACCACTGGCCTCCGACTGCCTTGGAGGAGCAGCTATGTAGGGACCCACCACACAGAGCAAGACTCGCTTCAGCAGGGCTCTGGTACCCACTGAGTCTGTTCATTGAGTGTGTCACTTGTGCAGGTGGTTGGGTGGTGGTTCTTCGATGTGGTCTGAAGCTGTCCACTGGGTGTGCTGGCTCTGGGGCAAGGTCAGCCACTGCCTGTGTTCTACCTGGGACCGCCAGGCATAAGCTACAAAGTGATCTGCCGATGGTTGCTTCTTGTGCCAGGCCTGGGCCCACTTAATGAGAGGTACAGGGCTCGCTGAGACCAGATGCTGCTTGTTTGAGAGATTTTAGGAAACTCTGAAGTAGGAAACAAGCCAGGCCAATCCTATGGTAAAGTCTTTGGAAACAGCTTGTGGGGGCCTGAAAGTTGGGTGGGGTAGAGTTTCAGGGAATCACCAGGGCAGGGCAAACAGTGTGAGACAGGTTGCTGGAGTCCCAGATATGGTGGCCATCGGGTGGGGGAGGGGCTCACCAAAGGAACAAAGGCCTCCGCCAGCACGTCTGTCTGAGAGAAAGCTGCCTCTCCAGCCCTCATCCTGAGGCCAGACAGCTCAGTTCTTCCGTGGGTGATTTAACATTTTAAAAGATGAGTTGACCTCAGCTGGTGTGGCTCAGTGGATTGAGCGTCGTCCCGTGGACTGAGAGGTCCCGGTTTGATTCACGATGGCAGGCTCGATCCCCAGTAGGGGGCGTGCAGGGGGCAGCTGATCGATGTTTCTTGCTCACATTGATGTTTCTCTCTTTCCAAAAAAAATCAGTAAAAATAATAAGATAATGGCTTTCTTGAGCCATTAAAAAGATGAGCCCTGGCTCAGCCAGTGTGGCTTAGTGTTTGAGCATCGACCCATCCACCAAGAGATTGCCAGTTCGATTCCTGGTCAGGGTACATGCCCAGATTGTGGGCCCGATCCCCAGTAGGGGGCATGCAGGAGGCGGCCAATTGGTGTTCTCTCTCATTGATGTTTCTCTCTCTCCCTCTCCCTTCCTCTCTCTCTGAAAATCAATAAAGAAAAAAAGAAACACAAAGATGAGCCTTGGTCGGTTTTGCTCAGTGGTTAGAGCATTGGCCCTTAGATCAGAGTCCTGGGTTTGATTCCGGCCAAGGGCACATACCTCAGTTGCAGTTTGGCCCTAGCCCTGGCTGGGATTGTGCAGGAGGCAACCAATCAATGTGTCCTTCTCACATCGATGTTTCTCTCTCTCTCTCTCTTTTCCTCTCTCCCTCCCTCTCACTCTATCTGAAGATAAATGGAAAAATATTCTTGGGTGAGGATTTAAAAAGAAAAAAGAGTTACCAACATTTAAAATGTGGGCCTTCCCACCAAAATCAGTTTCCAATTTCCCTTGGCACACTGGGAGATGTGGCAACATGGGGCTGCTTGCCACATGCCAACCACCATCCAGAGAGGGGTGGCATCGGCCTCTTCTCACAGGCACACGCTCACCTGCCCCATCATCTGTGTGCCCTGGGGGCAGTGCAGTTTGAAATCTGGTTAGAAAAAGGGAGGGGTGTGCAAATGTGGTTAGATGAAGGCAAGGACAGTACTATTCTAATTAGAAAAACAAAACCAGCATCTCTGAGGGCTGCATGCCAACCCCACAGGCACTTGATTAGTGTGTGGATCATGGAATGCTGCCAGCGACCCCAGGAGGCTGGGCTGTGACCACCACCCCCATTCTCCAGATGAGGAAACTGAGGCCTGGGGAAAGGAAGCCACTTGCCTGGGGTTAACAGCAGCAATCTGCAAGAGGGAGGCAGGATCCACTTCCTTAGTCCTGACTGGGCTCTGCTGACCCATTTGGCACCCTGCAGAGAGTTGAGTTTGTACCTTAGCTTGAACAAGGACACCAGTTAATGTCTGTTGTGCATCTGCCATTCTGGCAACTGCTCTAAGTCCTTTGTATGGATTAATTCATATATATACTATGCACAGTGACCTTTGAGGTAAATGGCATTTTTATTCCATTATTCTCACTTTGTATATTGGGAAGCAGAGGCACAGAGAGGTTAAGTCACCTGCCCAAGGCATAACAGCCACTAAGTAGTAGAGTCAGGATTTGAACTTAGGCTCCTGGCACCTGAGTTCATGCTGTGACCACTCTACTCAGATGCCCCTTGGGGAGGGGACCTTGGCCAATGCTTGCTCTGCCCCTAACTTTCCGCCTGCCTCCCTACAGGTGGTGGGCAGCTCCCTTCTCTTTGTGCATGATTACTCTGGCCTCGCCAAGGTTTGGATGATTGACTTCGGCAAGACAGTGGCTCTGCCTGACCACCAGACACTCAGCCACCGGCTGCCCTGGGCTGAGGGTAATCGTGAGGACGGCTACCTCTGGGGCCTGGACAACATGATTCGCCTTCTTCAGGGGCTGACCCAGAGCTGACCCACCTGCCTGCTGACAGAATTATTCACTGGATGGTACTCACTGGCTGGAGAAGCCTTGAGGGGTGCGGGGGCCTGAGGTTGGCCGTGGAGGCACTGATCTCCAGGACAGGAGAGGTGCACCCAAGCCCAGTGTGGAAGATCTGAAGGCCCTTGGAGACCTGGTAGTGTCCAGCTCTTTAATGATCCAGGGGTTGTAAGGCCTGGAGAAGGGACATGACATGGCTGGGTCCCACTGTAGGTCAGAACCAGTCTGGGACCTCTGACCAGCCAAGAAGATTCCTTAGGGGCTGCTGGAGGCCACAACTAAACCATACACCCTGAAAGAACACTGTTCAGATACTGTAGGCTACAGGCCTGACATACCAGTCACCATAGGAATGACTAGAATCACTGCCTCCTTGTCAGCCCCCTTAGACTACAAGCTGGTCCTGAGGCCAGGGACCAGTCAGCTTCATCTGTGGTACCCCAAGGACTGGACTTCACGTGCGAACAAATGCAGGAGCCAGCCTGGGAGCGTTATGGCGCCATCTCTTCATCTGGGGGCCCTTCAGGTGCTGACAGAGGCTCTGAGGAGGGTGTGACACCATGGGACTGGCCTGAGCACTGAGGCTGCTGAGCGGAGCCCAGTTCCCCGTCCTGTTCCCTCATAAGCCCTGGAGATCCTCCCTGCTCCTGGGAGAACTCTGCTGACCTCCTGCAGACCAAAACCACAGCCACATCCAGTTCTAGCACTGTGACCAGCACAACCTCATTCCTCAGGCACCACCTCAGCCTCGGGACTTCCTCCTTCCTCCCCGTAGTTTAGGCCCCGTTCCTCCTAGCTGACTGAGGTGGCAAGAAGGGCTTTCAGGGCAGGGAAGCCGGCTTGGGAATCAGAGCTGCCTTCCTTTGGTGGCCCCCATCCTACCCTTGGCCCCTGCCATGAGTAGTGCCACATTTGAGTCAGACTCGGGGGGTGGGGCTGTTGGCTGTGACCTCTGGCTCATAGCCTTGTCCAAACCAAAGACCCCAGCCCCGAGGTGAGCGGTGCCCCTCTTCCCTCTCCTACTTGTAACTGGCTTCCTGGCCCACAGAGCTGGGCTGGGGAGGACAAGCACCTCCCTCTTTCTGAGTCAAAGCTCTAAGGTTGTCTTCCAGGGCTCAGGAGGCATGTTCCTTTTCTACTGACCTTTATACTTATTTATACAAGAGACAGGTAGTTGTTAGATGGGGCAGTGCTGGGGAACTGGGGGCAACACTGCCTCATTGCCTTCCCCCGTGACAACCCCCCAATAAACAGGACATTCAAAGCCAACTTTGTGGAATTTTTTTTTTTTTTTGCATCTGGGGTGTGTGGGCTCAAAGCTCATAATCTTTTAAACTTTTTTCTTCTTTATTGCTTTTAGAGGGAGGGAGAGATAAAAACATGGACAGAGAACATCGATTGGCTACCTCCTGTATGCCCCCCACTGGGCATGTGCCCTGATCGGAAATTAAACCAACAACCTCTTGGTGCATCATGGGTCGATGCTCAACCACTGAGCCACACTGGCCAGGCAACAGTCATAATTTTGAGTATTTTGGGGGTGGAGTAACAGGACAGTCACTAGTTTGGGGTAGAGAGGCAGGCCTGGAATGCTGTGCCTGGCTTTGCTGGCTAAGGCAGGGCAATGGTGGTGACCAAGACAGTGCCAACCAGTGTTGTCAGGGCTGGGAAGGGGAGGTGCAGATGGGGGGTCAGGGCCGGGATGGAGGTTAGAAACACTAAGAAGCACTACACTTACATTGTCTAGTCTCTAAAGTGCCTTCGCACTGAAGACACAGCAGTGACCCAGACAGACCGGTTCCTCCCCTTTCAGAGGGGGAAGCAGCAGGTATTCATTAAACTAATCTTGCTCTAAAAAATACTTATCTAGATATGTACGTCTATGTAGGTACTAACCACTTGGTTTGAATCCTGACTCCACCGCTTGCCAAATCATGTGACCTTAAGCCAGTGACTGCACTCCTCCAAGCCTCAGTCTCTCCATCTGTAAAATGGGGAGGACCTGTACCATTCTTACAGGATTGAAAGATTTAATGAGTTAACACAGGAAAAGGGGTTGGCAGATTTAACTGCTCTCAGAAACATGTCCTTTTAGTTTTTAAACTAGAACAGAGGTAGGGGAGGAGCCTAGCCCTGGCTGACGGGAACCTTCCCTGAGGAAGTTATAATGAATCAAGTTGGTGTAGGGGTTCAGAACAAGTCACCCCAAGATATGCCTCTGTGGCATGCAGGCTGTTGTGAGCTAGGGCAATCAAGACTCTGTGGGCATAGTGAAGTCCCCCTCCCCCCTTAACGACCTAGATTTTGAATTGGGGGTCTTGCCCATAATGAGACTGAGATAACCTTTTCTGGGGTATCTATAGGGCAGGGCCAAACTCAGCTGAACATCAGCTCTTACTACCCTGCAATGACCTTGCTCCCTCTGAAGCTCCAAGATGATCCTTAGCTTAGAATGGCAGACAGACCTCATTTCCCCATCTTGGAACCTCGTGTATGTGGGGTTCCCATGTGTATGTATTAAATTTGGTTACTTCGTTAACCTGTGTCATGTAGACTATTAGACCAGATGAAAGAACCTTGAGGGTAAGTCTCTCCCACAATGGAAAGTTCCGAGCTATGCAAGCAGAGGGCTGCAGTGGGGAGCACTAGGGACCTGAGGCCAGTATGGCTAGCAGCAGGAAGTGTGAGCAACAGCTTGGGAGAAGAGGCATGAGCTGGGGCTGGGAGTTTTGTCTATTCTGTGAGCAACAAGGAGCTGCTAGAAGCTTCTCTGGAGGCTCGGGAGAACAAGTTTGTTTTTTGAGGGGCTCCCTCAGCCCTGACCCTACATGAACAGAGCAGTGGGCCCAGTGAGGAGGCTCTTGCAGATGGTTCAGAAGAGGGTGAGCACCAGTGAGAAACGAATGGATGCGACATTCGTGGTTGGACAGGACCCAGGGTCTGAGCTGTTTCAGTCTCCCCGGGACAGGGAGCTTGTCTGTCAGGATTCTGGCTCTAACCCAGCCACACAATACGTTCTCAATACCGAGGGGATAGGCTTGAGGATGGAGGAGCTGGGAGGACGCCAAGGCTTAAGAGTGAATGGACCGGGGTAGGGGGGACCCTGCATGAAGGATCTCTGGCTGGAGGTCCTCAAGAGGTCCAGCCGAAACCCCTGTGTGGTCAAAGGGAAAAGCTGGGGTCTGGGCCCCGCTATTCCTACTTCAGGGATGCAGCAGGCCAGTGGCTGGAATCGTATGGTCTGAGGAGCAGGGCCTGGCCACAGAGGCCAGCCCGTACCCCACCAGCAGGTACCACATATGCCCGGCCATCAGCGGCCCGAGAGGGTGAGAAGTCTGTCAGCTGCAGGTTGCTATCCCGGAGTTGGTCGTAGTCCCACAGCTGGTAGTGCCAACTCTTGCCCTGCTTGGAGAGAAGGTAGACTGCTCCCAGTGAGCCTTCCTCTGGCAGGGATGGTGGCTGGTGGGGTATGCTGGGCACTGGGTGAAATAGGCCTGGCAGCTCAGGGTCCTCAGCATAGCCGGGGGTTGGCACACCCTGCACACCCAGCAGGACCCCTGCAAGGAGAGGGGGAGTCTGTGAGAGCGGGTTGAGCCCTGACGAGGTGCTGGAGCTGAGTCCCCCCCCCAACAGCCCTCCAGGGAAGGTGCTGCTTATTCCCCCAATTCCAGAGAAGTCAGTGGGGGTCACTGGGCACACAGCTGGGCTGGGATTGGAGCCAGTATGTCTGGCTCCGGAGCTGCAGGCAGTTTAAGTCCTGCCTCCTACAGACTGTCAGCAGTGGGAGGTGGAGAGGAGACATTAAACAGAGCAAACATCGGCACCCAGTCCTCTCCAGCTGTCTAGGAGGGAGACGCTGGGAGTGGAGCCCTCAGGCCAGAGCCAGGCGAGGGCTGAGCAGAGCCTTGGTCCTGGCCACCCAATGGGCACAAATCCATCCCTCTTCCAGGCAGGTGGGATGATGGCAGTGCTGGTCACAGCTAACACCTACTCAAATGTGCAATGTGCCAGGCACAACCGTTCTAAGAGTTTTCAACGCTCTGCCCATAGTCAGGGCCTGGAAGTGGCAGGACTGGGCCTGGAGTCCAGAATGTTTGATCCAAAAGTCTGCACACTGAGTTTGTTTTTGAAAACCCCAACTGGCTGATACCCTGCCAGGTCCTTGCCTCAAATAGTGGGGAGGTGCCAAAGCAAAGGTGACAATGTGAGCAGGGGCAATAGGGGAGCTGGGGAGACCCAGGGTGAAGGCACAGGGATACAGGAGAGGGGACCCACCTGTGCTCACTGCCCAGTGGGCCTTGTGGCCCTTCCTCTGACATGGTTCATGGTTGAAGTCTTCATCGTAGCTGGTGCTGGGGTTAAGGCCAAAGCTGTAGTGTGGCTCTGGGGCCCACCCTTTTCCACCCCACCCGGTCCCCTTCCTCCCTGGGATACGGGATGAGCAACGGATGTCCAGTGACAAGGTGCTGCAGCACATGCTCTCTGTTGGGACCACCCAGGCCGCCATGGAGCAGCTCGGCTCGGCAGCCCAGTGCCTCCTCAGCTAGCCTGCCCATGTCGGCCACTGCAGGGACAGAACACACATTGCAATGAATCACTGTGTGCCTCACACCATGTCAAGGGCTCCTTGGGGATTGAGGCCTCTAACCCTTCCTGTGACCATTACCTCTTTGTACAAATGCAGAAAATGAAAAGCACAGAGGGGGTAAGCTGCCTGTCCAGGGCTACATAGCAGGAGGTAGCAGAGTTGGACTAGGAACCCAGGCAGCCTTGCTCCAGAATCTACCTTATAACCCTGGGTGGGGGGAAGGGCCTGAAGAATGGAACAAGGTCCTCCCACATCTGGCAGTGTCCCACCAGCCTCTCCAGTCCATTCCCGGTGAAGATCAGACTTGTGACCCTTCTGCGCCCAACTCACCAGAGAACATCTCTCCCTGGACAGTGTAGCCTCTTTCCATGGCCATCTGCACGAGTCTCTCCAGGGGGATGCCACTGGGGGGCACCAGAAGAGTGCCTGCCATCCACAGGGCCACCAGCCCACACCTGGGAGAGACAGGCCCAGCCCCTCAATCCCTAGTCGGGTCCTTACTGGGCCCCCTCTGCCCTAGAAGCTGGAGTGTGGGGAACAGAATGGCTGCCCTAGGGGAGTTCCCCTTCCCTCTCCCAGGCCAGGTGGGGAGACCTGCTACTCTTTCACGGCAGAGAGGCTGGGCAAGTACCAAGGATGAGGGGAAGGGAGGGTGGGGAGAGATTTCACCTGGGCTTCCAGGATGAGTAGTTGTCAAAATGGAGTTAGAGATGATGGACCAGGTTCATTTGTTCACTCACTTGCTCACTGATTCCAATTCTTCACTGTGCATGCACCCAGGACCCTGACCTGGTAAGTTCCCCTTCTTCCCCTCCCCTCATCCTCCCCAGGCTGCTGAGATAAGATGAACCCACTCTTGCCCTGGCTGGTTTGGCTCAGCGGTTAGAGCGTCAGCCTGTGGACAAGATGAACCCACTCCTCCCACCCTCCTGAGTCCATCTTCATTAAGCACAGCAAAGGCAGAGGCCTGAGACACATGGCTGGCCAAGGGGTTGGGGTTCCGGATCAGGGTACATACTGAGGGCCTTCTTGGATGAGGGAGGGCAGGTCTGCACAGAAGAGGATCCACTGCAAGTCACTTCTGAAACTGAATCAGAGCCGAACTCAGGTCACACGGGAACCAGCTCCGAGAGTCTCCCCTGAGGTCTGGCTGGGAGAAATGAAGGGGAGGAATACAAGCCCAGCAGTCCTGAGGCCCAAGCATAGCTCCTGTCTACTCCTGGCTTGGTCACTGACTTTCTTCACCCAGATAGGGCACTTCCACTGCCCAGCCTTAGTTTCTTCATCTTCTCAGTGGAAATGGCCCTTCTGCCTGCTGCTCTCTGCTCCTTCTCTTAGTTACTGAAGGGGCAAAGAGCAGATGTGCAAAAGTTTGGCAACTAGGAGCCAGAGCGATTTATTAGAGGAAATTTCTTAAAGGGTTGTCTCTAGACCCAAACTCAGTGGATTTCCCTTCTCAAACCTGTTTCTCAGGCTGTTAAATAGGTGAAAATCCCTTAACTCAGTCAACCTTGACTAAAACCAGGTAACAAGGTCTAAGATCACCTTGATAATGCACCCAGACCCACCCTCCTCCGGGAGGTCACTCAGAGTTGCAGTGACCCCAATCGATTCTTTCCCCATCCAGGGCACAGGAGGGTCAGGAAGATGTGCTTAACTTCCACTCTAAGGCCAGTGAAAGGGCAAGGCTGATGACAGGAGATGATATACAGCATGGTGGTTAAAAGCATGGAGCCCCACTGCCAGAGTTCAAACTGGGCTCTTCCTGTGCTAAGCGACTTCACTGCTTTGAGCCTCAGTTTTCTCATCTGAAAAATGGGATGAGCATTCCTACCTACATCATGGAGTTGCTGAGAGAATTAAATAAGTACATACTTAAAAACACAATGCCACACATATGCTAGGCATGTAATAATAGGTGTTTTCATTTGCATTAAATTTGTCTCACTATGGTTGGGGCATTTAGGGCAACTAGTCATCTTGCCTAGAAAGCTGTAATTTTTTGATGAGTCTGGACTAGTTACTTCTTCCTCTTCCTCCCTCAGCCAGGCAATTATTTTCTTTTCTTTTCTTTTTTTAACATTTTATTTTCTTAAATAGGTTTTTATTGATTTTTACTAGCGAAGAGAAATAGAAACATCAATTGGCTGCCTCCTGCATTCCCCCTACTAGGAATTGAACCCCAAATCACAGAAACTGAACCAGGACCTCTCAGTCCATGGGACGACGCTCAATCCACTGAGACACACCGGCCAGACAAGCCTGGCAATTGTTAAACCGGGTCCCCACAGCCCCGTCAAGTCTAGCCCCCTCCTCTCCTGCTCAGGTCCCTGGGTGTTCCAGCTTCCTCCTGGGTCTCACTACCTCCACTCCCCATCAAGTAGTCTCCCTCTCTGCACAAAGCCCTCCCATGGCTCCCCAGTGACCACAGGACATTCTCCTTCCTTCACATGGCCTCCATGCCTGCCACCTTCCCTGTCCCACTGAAGAAACATCTGCAGGGCCTTAAAAAGAACATATCTCCATTTCACTCTGGGTCTCTGCACAAACTGCTTATTCTCATCACATGGGCCTGATGACTTACTTCCTCCTTTCCAGGCAGGCCCCACTGACCCCAGCCTGGGTCGGGCACCCCCAGGGCTCCCTCATCACTCCCTCTGACCACTCTGGGCTGTCACCTGGTGGAGGGAAGGAATTCTCTCTCTCTCTCACTGGACTAGGTTTGTGAGGGCAGGCTCTCTCTTCATGGCGGAAGGCACACCACCAATGAGGGGGTGTAAATAGAAGGCTGAAGCAGTCAGGCTGTTTGACTTTGAGGAAATGAGAAATCCCAGGAGGAAGCAATTTGGGGGCAGGTGGTTTGGTGAGACCCTGGGTGGGTGCGGCATGGAGACCCTACCGGTCCTTGTGAAGCTTCAGGAGCCTCTTCACGTCTTCTCTGCTCCCGGGGACTGGGCCCGCCTTCTCCAAGGCCTCTTTCAGAAGCTGGCTCTTCTCCAGGCCGAAGACATGAGGGGGAGCAGCACCCGAGGAAGGGGGTGGAGGTGGCAGTGGCGGTGGTGGGGGAATAGGGGCCTGGGGACTTGAGGGAGAGGGTGGAAAGGCTAAGTCTGGAAGATGTGGGGGTAGGGGAGGAGGTGGAACCATGGGGGTCTGGGAGGCAGGGGTTCTTGGGGGAGGGGCTGGGGGCTCTAGGAGAGAAGAGCATGAAGAACTCATTATGGAGCCTATGGCATGGGCGGGAAGGATAGGAGAGAGAGGGATCCTTCACAATGGGTCTCAGGGACAGAGATTTTGAAGGCTTTAGAGTGGAGTTCCGGGATTGGGGGGCTGAGTAATGGGATTGAAAGAATGGGGCTAAAACTTGGAACCATGGGAGCAAGGATTGGGGCTGACTCAAATCAGTTCTGAGGGTTAACAGGGCGGGGTCCTTTAACCCGGAACCAGACTTGTGGTTGCAGCTGGGTTGCAAGGCTGAAAGAAGGAGAGTTAGGAGGAGTTAATTGACATCCGAGGCTCGGTTTGGAAACTTGGGGGTCAATTTTGGGATATGAAGGCTCAGACCTGGGGTGAGGCGCCTAAAGGGTGGGACTTAGAGGCCAAAGGCTAAAGACCAGGTTAAAATGTAGGCTCTGTCCGCCCCGTCACATCCCAGACCCAAGTTTAGAACCTTAGAGCTGACCGTTGCGTCAAGAGGTCAAGAGGTCAAAAGGACACCTGGCAGGAAAAATGGCCTAGTTGTGGAGAAGGTCTAGGAATCAGAGCGCAACAGTAAAAGTCTGTGGGACAGGGAAGGCTCGGGGATCGGAGGCCGTCGGGAGCCGCAATAGCGCTAGGCTAGGGAACGGAATCAGAGTGAAACGCACCTCCACTTCCCCAAAATGGCGGCCGCAGCACACAACCTTTCCGTGCCCGCCCCTTTCGCCCCCACGTGACAGAGAACGCCGGGTCTCAGGGGAGAGGTGGGGCTTCTAAAGAGGTGCCTCCGAAGGGAGTGCAAGCCGCGACCCAATTGGCAAGAAGCGCACTCTTCACTGATTGGTAGACGGCGGGGTTTTTCTCCTGGCGGGAACCCAACGACCCTTTTGATTGGCAAATTCTGGGCGGAGATTGATTTGGTAAGATCTGGCCCGAGATTTGATTGGCAGGAGTGGGCGTGACTTACTCTGATTGGTCAAGCTACGACGTTTCCGCGCGGGGATTGGCTTGCATAACGAAAAAGGCGGGTCGAGGAGAGGGAGCTTCATGCTCGGCCCTCAGAAACGCAGCAGGAGCCATTTGTCGGACCAGTAGCTCTGTTGGTAAGTGATTGCGGGTGCAGGCGGCCCAGGCGTCGGGCAGGCGGAGCTTTTGGCACCTGGGTCTTCCCGCGCCTCGTGTGGGGAAACTGTTTTCCCACTGCGCGTGGCCAGGGCACCACAAAATCTCCCTTTCCTTTAACTGGCGTTTACCTCCGGGTTCTTTTTCCTGGGCCGCCATGTGAGAGCTGGGCCAATGGGAACCACCACTCAATACGCTCCGCCTATTAAGTCGCGTGGAGCATCCTGGGACTCGTAGTAAACTTCGAGATTTGCCGCACCACGCGGGAGGAGAAGGGGGTTCCTGCGTTTGCTTTGTTTTCTAAGCTGTGCACCCTTCTTCCGTCCTCCCCGCCTTACCTGACTTCCTCCTGGAAAGAAGATCTCTGAGGAGCCCGTTAATCCCACATTAGGAGAAGGGGTTTTGAGAAACCCAGGGCTGAAGTTACTTTTTTCATTCTTTCAGTCCTACCGCAGCACCTTCCTCCATGGCAGTTCCCGAGACCCGCCCCAACCACACTATTTATATCAACAACCTCAATGAGAAGATCAAGAAAGATGGTGAGTTCTCCAGGGAGTCCAGACTCCAGGCTATCTCGCACTAGCTGGCCCCCTCTTTCATCCCCAGCATACACGTCTGTTCTTCAGCCATGTCTTCCAGGCAAGACACCAGAGTTAATCCCTCGGTCTTTGCACATGCTGCTTCCTCTGGCTTTAACACTTCCCCAGTTCACCTTGCATTCTGCCTATTAACCTGGTCACTGTTGCTCATCCCTAAAGATGTCAGCTCACAGGAGGCCTTCCCCATCTCCTTTCCCCTTAGGTGCCTATCTGATTTCCCATAGGCCCTGTATCCTTTCCTCGCATCCTAGGCCCTGATGATTCTGGGGTGTCTCTCCACTGGCATGTGAGCTACATGAGGGCAAGAACTGGGGCTGGCTTGATCAGTGTCATGCTTTCAGTGATCAGCCCACAATGAAAATGTCTCATTTAAAAATGAAATGGCCCTGGCCAGTTTGGCTCAGCGGTCGAGCATTGGCCTGCGGATCAGAGAGTCCTGAGTTCGGTTCCTGCTAGGGGCACATACCACACAAAAAAAGAAATGAATAATGATGGTGAATAACACTCTATACCAGGTGCTGATATGTATCTTAATTACATTTAACTTTCACAAGAACCCTACAGGAAGTAACTGTTGTTTCCGTTTCTCAGATTAGGAAATTGAGACTCAGAGGTGATGTGACTTGCCCAAGGTCACACAGCAAAGAAAAGTGGTTGAGGTCACCAGTGTGGAATTTTGCTCAAGAACTCGATTCTTTGTTTTTGTTTTTGTTTTTTGTTTTGTAGTCCTTGAGGACATGTCCATTGGTTTAGAGAGAAAGAGAGAAAGAAAAGAGAGAAACGTTGATTGCCTCCCTTATGCTTCCTGACTGGGAATTGAACTCCTGACCTTTTGGTGTACAGGACGACACTGCAACCAACTGAGTAACACCGGCCTGGGCCAACCCAATTCTTGACATCAGACATACCTTTTCATTTTCTTCAGCAAATTATCGCCTTTATTGAACCTTATTTTCTTTTTTAATCCTCGCCTGAGGATATTTTTACATTTATCTTCAGACAGAGTGGGAGGGAGAGAGAAACATTGATGTGAGAGAGACAAATCAATTGGTTGCCACCCACACAACCCCAACTGAGTCTGGGGACTAACGGCAACCGAGGTACGTGCTCTTGGGTAGAATCGAACCCAGGACTCTTTGGTGCACAGGCCGGTGTTCTAACCAATGAGCCAAACCGGCGAGGGCTGAACCTTATTTTCTATAATTAACTGAGCAAAATCATAGTACCTTTTTTGCATGGATGTTTCAGGGATTAAATTAGTTTAGCCTCCGTGCAGTGCCTTTTTTTTTTTTTTTTTAGGGCCTCCGGTAAAAATCAGAAGACCCATTAGACAAATTCAAAAAGAGTCATAAACAGTGCTTCTTTTTTTTTTTTTTTTTTTTTTTATCCTTACCCGAGGACATTTTTCCATTTTTTGTTCAGATAGAGTGGGAGGGAGAGAGAGAGAGAGAGAGAGAGAGAGAGAAAAACATCGATGTGAAAGGGACACATTGAGTGGTCGCCACCTGCACAACCCAACCAGGGCTGGGGACAAACTGCGACCGAGGTACGTGCCCTTAGCAGGAACTGAACCCGGGTCTCTCTGGACCGCAGGCCGACGCTCTAACCGCTGAGCCAAACCGGCCAGGGCAAGCAGTACTTCTTTTTATGGTACCCAGCAGTAGGGCTGGATACATGTTAGCTTTGATTATCACCTCAGGAAAATTGTGGGAGGAACCAAAGGATTTTGCTAGGATTAAGTCAGATTACCAATAAACTTGCTGTTGAAAACAAAATAAGCCGTGTAAATCACCCATGTCCTCTTAGAGCAGCGGTTCTCAACCTGTGGGGTGCGAACCCCTTGGGTACCCTTTCACAGGGGTCGCCTAAGATCATCGGAAAACACATATTTCCGATAGCGATTCATAACAGTAGCAAAATTACAGTTATGAAGTAGCAACGAAAATAATTTTATGGTTGGGGGATCACCACAACTTAAGGAACTATATTAAAGGGCCATGGCATTAGGAAGGTTGAGAACCAGTGTCTTAGAGCGTTGTGCTTAGGCAATACTTTTCGGTGCTGGGGACACACTGGTGACTGGGACAGTTCTGGTTCTGCCTTCATAGAGCACAAGTCAGTGGGGATGAGAGACCTGCTAGCAGACAGTGAGATCCTGGAGTAGGCAGGGCCATGGCTGGGGAAGCACAGGGCTGGAAGCACTGAGAAAGTGGGTTCATTAAGTCTCACAGAAAACAAGATACTTTGGGAAAGCTTTCCAGGCAGAGGAAACAGTACAATTGACCCCTGAACAACTCGGATTGAGGTGCCGACCACCCATGCAGTAGAAACTCCACATATAACCTGAGTCGGCCCTCCATACACATAGATTTCCAGCTGTGGGTCGAATGTAGTATTTGTTACAGTGAGGGAGGAGAGTGTTCCTGACCTGGACCGGCATGTGCAGTGTCTAGGGACTAAAGATCCTGGACATTCTGGGAACCATAAGCAATTGTGTGTGCGCCTGAGGCCTAGTGGCTTGTGACTTCTGGAGAAGATTCTGGTGAGCAGTGCACTGATGGCCCATGAGGCTTGTGGGCAGGGCGAGGCGTTGGACTTTGTCCTGAGGGCATGGGGGGCCAGGCAAGGCACTCAGCTGTGAAAGGTCTTCCCAGCCATGGAGGGAGTGGGCAAATGGGGAAAGGCTAGAGTCCAGGAGAATGCCTGAGGCCCAAGTTGGGTTCATGGGGATGGAGGATGGAAACAACTCAGAAACGTCATCAGAATTTTTAGTTGATTGCTTCAAAACCCCTTTGCTTGCCCTATATTTTCCTCGTCCCGCCCCCCTCCACGTTTTCTTTTCTTTCCTTCCATAGTATCTTTTTCACCAAACATCTTCAGCTCAGATACCCTTTGCATTAGATTGGTGCCCTGTTCTGGCTGTGAAGTAAGGCATGGTGATACTGGGTTCTAGTGAGATGTGATACTGGGTTCAGATGCGCTTGGGTCCCAGTCCCAGCTCTACAGGGTCTTCCCAGAACCCTTGGGACACTCTGAAAACCTGTTTCCGAGTTAGCAAAATGGGGACAGTTAATAGTTACTACCTCAGTGGGGTGTTTGTGAGAATTCAGTGGCTTTTCTGTTTTGTAAAATCAAGAGATTTTGTTTAAAAATCTGGGGTGTTCATTTACTGAAAAGAGACAACAGGCTCCAAATCAAGTCTTTAATAACATTTTCCCCCCCATAAAACAATGGTATCTTTAGTCATGCAAATATTTTTGGAGAAGTTTGTGTGCTGAAGTCTGCACTGCATATGGAAATACTTGGGTGAACAAATGCTTCTCTTCAGAAGGAGAGCTAGACAGCAAGTAAGCAAAGGTGATGCCAGGAGATGGAAAATGCCACGAAGGAAAGCAAGTAGGGTATGAGGAGGGGGAAAATGTCATGAGGGGACATTTCTTTCTTTTTTTTCTTTTTTCTTTTTTTTTAGTACGTGCCCCTAGCGGGAACCGAACCTGGGAGTCTCTGGTTTGCAGGCTGACGCTCCAACCACTGAGCCAAATCGGCCAGGGCAAGGGGGCATTTCTTTAGACAGGGTAGTGAAGGAAGGCCTTTGAGACCTGGGTGACTAGGAGGCAGCCATGTACACATTAGGAGACAGGTGTTCCTGGTAGAGGGAGCAGCCAGTGCAAAGATCCTGAGGCAGTATGGTATGATGGGTTAGGGAGGGTTGGGAGGTCTGTGGCTGGAGATACAAGAGTGAGTTTTGGAGTATGGGGAAAGGAGGTTGGAGGAGTTGGCTAGAGCCACATTGTACAGACCTAGTCAGGGTGCTAGTAATAAGCAAAAGAAGTGATGGACTTTGCTATATACCCTTTGTATGTGTGACTTGTGTTCCTCATACAGCCACAGAGTGGGTTGGGTACTGTTACTGATAACCTCTCACACAGGAATACACACAACCACTTAAGTGCGACTTGGCTGCCACTGTTACTGCTGGCTCTTGAGGGGTTGCTGACCCATGGTATTCTGGGTACTCTGAGTTGGCCGATGTTTCCCTTCTGGGCTGCACTTTCCTCTGAAGAAGGGAGCTTAAGACCCAGGCACGGTACCAAGGCTTTTAGTCACCCATGGATCTTTCCTCCCCCCACTGCAGAGCTGAAGAAGTCCCTGTATGCCATCTTCTCCCAGTTTGGCCAGATCCTGGATATCCTGGTGTCACGGAGCCTGAAGATGAGGGGCCAGGCCTTTGTCATCTTTAAGGAGGTCAGCAGCGCCACCAACGCCCTGCGCTCAATGCAGGGTTTCCCCTTCTACGACAAGCCCATGGTGAGCACTGTGGGGTGGAGGGTGTATGTGTACTTGTGTGCGAGGTGCTGTAGGAGACCACTGGGCCTGGACCTCCTGTCACCTGTAGTCCAGTCCCTTTAGGACAGGAGTTTCTCTTGCTGTTCCTCAGCATTTACTGTTCCCTGTACTGGGGTATGGGGACACAGAGTGCCTAACGGAGCCCCCAGCCCTGCCCTCTCAGACCCACAATGGGGACAGCTCAGGGTCAGAGCTGGAATGGAGGATGTGCACAGAGCTGGGCAAGCTTAGGTGGGGGGCACCTCAACCAGGCTGGGGGTTCAGAGAAGGCTTTCTGGAGGAGGTGAGACGAAGGAGGAGTTGGCTTGGGGAGTAGAGGGAGGAAGAATGTTAGGCAGAGGGACCATGTGGACTAAGGCCCAGAGATAGTCAACAGCATGTGTAATTGAGGAAGCGAGTCAAGTTCATTTGGCTGGAGTGATAGTGGGAGGTGGTGGGGAGGGCTTGGCCTGCAGAGCATGACCAAAGTCAGGCTAAGGGGCTCGAGTTTGTCCTGAAAGTGGACGTGACTCCCAGGGTGCTGCAGAGCCTGGGAGAGGTTTAGGGAGACGCCTGTGGCTGTTGGACAGAGTGGATTGGAGGAGGGGATTTAGGGTCCAGTTCTGAAGGGGAGGCTGGGTTAGGAGTCTAGGTGGGAGGGGTCGGGCCAGGACCAGGGCAGAGGCTGTGGGATGGGAGAAAGGGTGTTGGGTTGCAGATGTTCACAAGGCCAAGTAGACGGCCAAGGGGCGGGCGGCAGTCTGGGAGGTAAGGAGTGGCTTGAAGTCCCTGCCGTGAGCTGAAATTCCTGCCAGATCGCTGGCGGACATCTTTGGTTCTTCGGGCCTTTTCTCTTATTCCTTAATAGATTTTCAAGTTTGACGTGGTTGGAATGTGTCTCCCTGAACCATTTTCCTTGGAAGGGGACAGCAAGTGTCAGTGCCTGCAGGTCCCAGGCAGGTGACCTCAGTGGGGCAGCGGGTCATGTGGAAGAGTGTGGGCCCGAGGCAGCAGACACCCGGAGCCCTCTCGTCTCCATGTCTTTGACTCCTATCTCTCGCCACCTCTGGGTCTGTAGGCCTAGAGTTGCCACATCTTCCCGTTACCTTTCTGGAGCAGCTAGGAATTAGCTTTTGAGGTATAAACACTGTACATCTTTCTGTATTGACCCTCCCCTGCTTTTCTTCCCAAGTCACTGCTTGAAGCATATCATGCGTTTCGGCATGTGTGAGCTTTGTCAGGGAGTCCTGTCAACTCAGCCTTCAAAACACTCGCCAGCGGCCTACTTCTCACTCTGCCCCTGCACCGACCTGGGCTCAGCCACCACCATCCCTGTGGCAGCGGCCTGCCTGCGGGTCTCCCTGCTTTATCCCCTGCTCCCCACAGGCTGCTCCTTGTGAAATTTTCTCCTGCTTATACCATCCATAGCTCCTGGCTTTCTCAGTAAGAGACAAAGTCCTCCCCATGGTCCTCAGGGTCCTCGTTGCCTCCGTAACCTTATCTCTTCCCTTCTTTTCTTCCACATTGGCTCCCTTGCTGTTCCCCATGCACCCCTTACCTCTTTGATGGCTGTTCCCTTTGCTAGAACATTCTTTCCCTAGATGTCCCACAAGGCTCCCTCTCTCCCTCCCTCTGTGTCTCTACACCAGTGTCACCAGGCCTTTCCTGGACACCCTAGCTGAAGATTTCAGTACTTCTCCAGTTCACTTCTTTCACTTCTTTTTTTTTATCTTTACCTGAGGACATTTCTCCATTTTTTGTTCAGATAGAGTGGGAAGGAGAGAGAGGAAGAGAGAGAGAGAGAGAGAAACATCGATGTGAAAGGGACACATCGAGTGGCTGCCACCCGCACAACCCAACCAGGGCCGGGGACAAACTGTAACTGAGGTATGCGTCCTTAGCAGGAACCGAACCCGGGTCTCTCTGCACCGCAAGCCGATGCTCTAACTGCTGAGTCAAACTGGCCAGGGCTCCAGTTCACTTCTTAATCTTCTTTGTCTTTTCTTCCCACTGAAGAGGCTCCATGGGGCAGGGCTTTTAGAGGTTCCACAGACAGCTGAGTGGATGGAATTGAGCTCAGGGACTAAATGCAGGGAGTGGCTGAAAGCCCCTGCAGAGTGCTCTTGTCTTGTCAACTGAGGCTTCCACCTGCAGCCTGATGCCCAGGGCTGTCCCACCTTCCCTTCAAAAGTCCGACAGCCCGCTGTGTGCTGCCTATGTGTCAGGTGCTGCTCAGAGCACTTGAACTCATGTAGTCATCGCAGTCATTTTAGAGATGAGGATGTTGAAGCCTAGTGATCTCTTTAACATTGTGCTCGCCCAGCTCCTGGTAAGGTCTGCTTTTGCACCCAGCTGATTGGCTCCAAAGTCCACTCTCTTAACCTTTTGGCTCTCTGTCGGCAGCGCATCCAGTACGCCAAGACCGACTCGGATATCATTGCCAAAATGAAGGGTACCTTTGTGGAGCGTGACCGGAAGCGGGAGAAGAGGAAGCCCAAGAGCCAGGAGACCCCAGCTGCCAAGAAAGCCGTGCAGGGCGGGGCAGCTGCCCCTGTAGTGGGAGCTGTCCCGGGGCCTGTCCCGGTAAGCTAGGGCCCCTCATCACCAGGCCTTTCTCTGCTACATAGCTTGGCAGAGGGCTCAGGGGGGAGCGGGGGTAAAGGGTCTCTGTTGGGGTTCAGACACCAACCCCTTTCCATTTTCTTATGTAGGTTGTGTGCCTCTGGATGAGGGTGTCTCCTCAGAAATGCCCGTCCCTGCTTGCCAGGCTGTTCCCTAGGATCTTTCTTTCTTTGTGTCCCAGTCTCTTGGTTTCTCTCTCCTTGACCTTGATGTTGCTCTCGGTAGAAAATCCAGAAGCTGCTGCTAACCAATAGTTAGGATTAATAAGTGAATTTAATTTGGAAATGTTGCCAGGCATAAAGTCATTATGGAAAAGAATACATTTTATTTCTATATGCTAGTCACACAGAAGTAGACTTCAATCTGAAAAATAGCTCTGAAGAGTCAATCTAATAAAAGGTGCAACACATACACACACACACTACAGAATATTGAGAGAAATTGGAGACAGTCTCAGCAGATGGCTGGAGAAGCTCCCCACTGTTCAGATGTTGTTCTTCCTAGATTGATCTAAACACAGTTCCAGTAAGAACCCCAACAGGAATTTTTGGGGACATTGACAGCCTGTTTTTCAATGTCTTTGGAAAGGCAATGCAAGATAGGTGAGAATAAAGCTGGGGGGCCTGCTACAGTCGTCAAGATGGTGTGGTATTGACATGAGGGTAGGAAGATGGACCAGTGGGACCAAATAGAGTTCAGACAGAGGTCCACACATGTAGTTAATCAACATGTGAAGCTAACGCTGCAGTCCAGTGGCAAAGGACTTTTTTTGTCTAGTAAATGATGCTGGAGTAATTGGATATCCATAAGAAGAAAAACGATCTCAACTAGGTACACGTTAATTTGAGAAGGTTCATATACCCGAATGTGACAGCTAAAATAATAAAGGTTCTAGAAGAAAACAGGAAAACGTCTTCATGACCCTTACTGAGGGCATGAAAAGTAGGAGCATCCTGTTTTCTAAACAGGATGCAGAAACACGCAGTAAGAAAGAAAGGATGGATGAATCGCACCCACTGTAGGTCTCCAGGTCTCCACATGAGCTCTCCTGGTGGGTCACACTGTATTTGTCCTATGTGCGCTGATGCCAGCTCACACTGGGTTACTCTTCCCTTGTTCCCTCTCCTGTGTCCAGCTTTCTGTCCACCTTTGACTATTTGGGTGTGATTTCCTCTCCGGCAGCCCTGTCCCCTCAGGGCACGTGCTGTGTCATCAGGCTGTCTCCATTTTCCCCTTGCTGCCACTCCTCTCTCTGCACCTGCCTTGACCATCCCTGTCCATCTCTGCCTTCCATTGTTTCTTTTTTTCTCTGTAGGTCTCTGGATCTGTTTCTTTGGTTTTTCCTCAAACTTCATTCTTAGAAGCAAAAGTAGTGTTTTCATTATAGTGTTTATTTTCACTTTTTTTAGTTAACAGTTGTTAATATTTTGAATTTTTCCTCTAGTTCTTTTCCCTCCTTAATATCTATAAACAAAGTTAAGTCACATTGGCTAATTTTTTAATACTAAAATACATTTTTTTTTTGGTGGTACGTGCCCCTAGCGGGAACCGAACCTGGGACTCTCTGGTCCGCAGGCCGATGCTCAACTGCTGAGCCAAACTGGAAAGGGCTAAAAATACACTTTTTTTAACTTTCTGGTTTTTTAATTTTTTCTTCCCTCACTCGAGAACATTTTTGCATTTATCTTCAGATAGAGTGGGAGGGAGAGAGGAAGAAAGAGAGAGAAAGAAACATAGATGTGAGAGAAACACATCCAGTGATTGCCACCCATACGACAAACTGCAACCAAAGTACGGGCCCTTAGTGGGAACTGAACCAGGACTCTCCGGTTGGAGGGTTGTCGCTCTAATCGCTGAGCCAAACCAGCCAGGGCTAACTTTCTGATTTTATGTCCACCTTGGCCTGGGTCTGTTTTGCTTCATCTGTTTCTCTTGGTATTCTTTGTCTCTTTGGGTGCCTTTTTTTTTTTTTTTTTTTTTTTTTAATTTGTTGATTTTTTTAGAGAGAGAGAAACATCGATTGGTTGCCTCTTACACACCCCACACTGGGTATCGAGCCCTGACCTGGAATTGAACTGGGACCTCTCAGTCCATGTGATGCTCATATCCACTGAGTCACACCTGCTGGGCTGGGCGCCTTTTTTTTTTTCACTTCTTGCAGATCTAGGCCTTTCTCCGTGTCTCACACCTGGGTTTCCTCTAACGACTTCTTCTCCTCTGTGCCTGCTAGGGACACCTGTCACTCCCACCTGTCAGCCGCCCCACTCAATCCAGCCCTCCCTCTCTCCACAGGGCATGCCGCCGATGACTCAGGCGCCTCGCATCATGCACCACCTGCCGGGCCAGCCTCCCTACATGCCACCCCCTGGCATGATCCCACCTCCAGGTCTCGCACCCGGCCAGATCCCACCGGGGGCCATGCCTCCACAGCAGCTTATGCCAGGCCAGATGCCACCTGCTCAGCCTGTAAGTGTCTAGTCCTCCTGTGGTCTTGTATAAATAGTTGGAACATGGGAATCGAAGGGGACTAGTGGAGGTGCTACTTTATTTTATAATTTTTATTATTTTTTAATCCTCACCCGAGGATATTTTTTCTATTGAGTTTTAGGGGAGGGAGGCGGAGAGAAGTATCAGTGTGAGAGAGACACATTGATTGTTTGCCTCCTGCATGTGCCCCAAGCAGGGCTGGGGATCGAACCTGCACCCTTCAATCTACAGGCTGACGCTCTAACCACTGAACCACGTGGCCAGGGCAAGGGGTTGCTGTTTTAGGTGGGTGGTCTGGGCAGGCCTCCCTGAGGAAGTGCTGTTGGAGGATAAGGGTGAAGTTGTGGGGTAGCAAAGGGTTGGTATGTTTGTTGGAGGAGCTTTGGAAGGTCTGGGTCAAGCTGGAGCAGTGGCCAACACCTGGATTCACATTCAGTGACGATCTGCTGAGCCCCTGCTCCTGATGTGGCAGTGCTCTCCTGTGGCTCACAGGCTAGATGGGGTGAAGCAGGGTAGACAGGCAGCAACATAGGTGAAGGGCTAGAAAGAATTCAGTCAGGGTGGGGGTGTGGAGAGCAGGAGGGCAGCAGATCCCCCACTAGACTCATGGGCTCCCGTCTCTTCCCCCACAGCTTTCAGAAAACCCACCAAATCACATCTTGTTCCTTACCAACCTGCCAGAGGAGACCAATGAGCTCATGCTATCTATGCTCTTCAACCAGTAAGTGGGGCCTGTGGCTGGGCAGGGGCCGAGGGTGATGGCCATGAGGTGTCACCATGGGGACAGGCCTTGGAATTCTGCTGGTGGAGCCCTGTGCCTGCTTAGGCTTTGCAGTTGGGACAGTGACCAGAGGTGGAAAAGGCCCACAGCCCACGGGGTGTGGTGATGACAAGGCTGGGGCTCAGCAGTGGCCAGAGCGTGTGTGCTGTCTTCCACCTTCATGGGGTGTGAGTGGAGAGGCTCTGGGCCTTAGCTTTCTCGTTTGTAGGATGCAAGATACATGTAAGGAAAAGAGTGAGACCTCCTTGAACACTGGCCAGACTGGCAAACAGCACGCTGAAACAGCAGGTGTGGGGGCGGGGAGGTTGAGCCCTGTGCCTTGCTGATGACGTGTAGACCCTACAGCCACTGCACAGGGTAACCATTCACTGCTTAGTGAAATTAGGGGCTATGTCCTCATCCAAAAGGTGTTAATTGGGGTGGTTCCCCACTCATCTTGATTCAGGTGCATTTATTTGTATATGTATTTAGTTTATGTTTTATGTTTTTGTTTTAATGCTCACCCGACATTTATCCTCAGACAGAGTGGGAGAGAGAGAGAGAGAGAGAGAAACAAACATTGACGTAAGAGAGTCACATTGATTGGTTGCCACCTGCATGACCCCACCGTGGGCCAGGGACAAACTGCAACCGAGGTACGTACCCTGGGCCAGAATTGAACCCCAGGCTCCCTGGTCAGCAGGCTGACGCTCCAACCGCTGAGCCAAACTGGCCAGGGCAATTTAATTTATGTTTTAAAATATTATTTAATTGGGTTTTAGAGAGGAAGTGAGAGAGAAACATTGATTTGAGAGCGGAACATCGATCGGCTGCCTCCTGCCCGGCCCCTACCGGGGATCAAGTCAGAAACCTGGGCATGTGCTCTGTTTCCGTGCACGGGATGGTGCCCAACCGACTGAGCCACACCAGCGAGAGCCGATGCAGGTGCTTTTAGTGCTGCTTCCTTCTGAAGGAGCATCTGTCAGCACTGCTTTTCCTCCTGTAGGCAGATAGCATAGTGGAGCAGCCAACACGCAAACTACTGTCTGCCTAAAGATGGTGGTGATTTTACAGCATCCTGAGCATTTCACATCCATGAAGTAGGAACTGGGGCTCTGCACCAGGTGCTTCTTGTGTTTCCTCTTTTCCTGAGAGGGATGGAGGAGATCTTTAATGAAAAGCATGTTGTTATGGGTTGTCACTGGCAGGAAGGCCCTAAAAAATGTCTTAACAAGAGTCCCAAGGGGGTGTAGATGGGACATTCATGGTGGGGAAGTAGTCTGGGTGAAGGGAGAGGTCAGAGGCGATGCTCACCATGGTGTCTGTGCGGCAGTCAGAAGGAGCAGAGTGTTGTGGGCATGGTTCTATATAATGGTGCCGAGAGGAGATTTTGAGCAACTGGATAAAACAGAAAAGCAATACCACATGTTTACCGTGTCCACAGAACAAAACGTATTTTTTAAGAATACTGATGGATAAAAGGGTCCCCTCCCCTCTGGTCAACAAGAGGATGGTTGCCTAGTGGAGAAGGAAGCAGGGAATGAGAAGAGGGAAATGAAAGAAACAGCAGACCCTAACAGTCAGGAGTGGTTGTTTCTGGACGGGAGGTAGGTGGGTTATGAGGGGAAGGAGGTGATTGGTGGCTCGATACAGGTTAAGGTTGTGTAGGCATTCGTGTTAAAATTGCTATTTAATTGATATGTTCACAGTGTGTGCACTTGTTTTTAATAGGGTTTCTCAACTTAGCACTATATACGTTTTTGGCCGGGTGATTCTTTATTATTGTGACCGTCCTCTGTATTGTAGGATGTTTAGCAACGTCCTGGCCTCTGCCCATCAGACGCCAGAATGCTAGGGGGAAATGCTGACTCTAGATCCCTGAGGACTGTCCCCTTCTCTCAGGTTCCCTGGCTTCAAGGAGGTCCGGCTGGTCCCAGGGCGGCACGACATCGCCTTTGTGGAGTTTGACAACGAGGTTCAGGCAGGGGCCGCCCGAGATGCCCTGCAGGGCTTCAAGATCACCCAGAACAACGCCATGAAGATCTCCTTTGCCAAGAAGTAGCGCCTTTTCCCCATGCCTGCCCCTACCCCCTGTTTGCAGGCCTCCCCTCTTCCCCTTGGCTCGGCCTCCTGAAGGTAAGTCCCCCTCGGGGGCCTTCTTGGAGCCGCATGTGTGAGTGAGTGGTCACACAGCATTGTACCCAGAGTCTGTCCCCAGACATTGCACCTGGCGCTGTTAGGCTGGAATTAAAGTGTTTTTTGATGTTTGATTTTCTACAACCATTTGTTGTTTTTATTTTCGCGTTCTCTATGGTTCCCTTTTCTGCATGTCAAAATAGCCTGAATTTTTGGCCCTGTCATTTGCAACCTTCCGAAAGCAGAGTATGTAGTCATATTGTCCCAGCTGAAGTCATCTTTACTACTTTGGCACATTTCTGTTTTGTCTCAATCAGCATTCATTGCAGGAAACTGAAACCCAGGCTGCCATGTACGGTGGGGCAGGTTCTAGACTGCACAAGGATGCCACCTTGAATGGCACACCGTTCACTTTGTAGACCACTACTTTTCTAACATGAAAATTAAGGAAGAGGTTTTTCTTTGCCTTTTTCTAATCTTCACAGAAGTGCCGTCTGTTGTGGCAACAGTACCACAGCAACCACTGTAGGTACTTCAGGAAGAAGAAGGGAATTGGTGCTCAGAAATCATTGGAAGGATAGTTGGAATGGCAGTCTGGGTCTGAGACACTTGAGTTCAAGTTTGTAACCCCTGATTGAGCTTCCATCCAGAATTCAGGAGGATGCCACTGCTGCTGACAGGAGGCCCAGACTCACTTGCTCACACATGGGAAGCTATGGACCAGATGCTGGTACAAACTGTTGACTTCTCTTGCTGACAGAAGACCCAAATTCCTCTCTGGGAAATGTAGTTTCTGGCTATACAGTTGTGTTTCCAGCTGAAGCTATGGATAAGGGAAGAAGGAATGGGGAACCTTCCTTAACCATCTATTACATACCTAATCTTGAGAGTTTTCATTGATTCAAAAAACCTAAGACCCTTTCTCATACCAGATAGATGAGGAAATGAAGTAGAAAATAAACCAAAAAATAGATACAGTGAGACGTAGCGTTACATTCTCTGGATAATTTTTCCTGCCAAGGCTAAGCCCAAGCCTGATCCTGCTCTGCTCTTTCCATTAGAGAGGAACATTGGTGAAGTGATGGGACTTGTAGTACCCAAGGCAGACTTTCTCCCTGTAAGATCTGAAAGATTGGCAGGAGAAAGGACTTGCCCCCTTCACTGCAAGACACAGTGTTATTACAGATGGCCAGTGGAAACATCTTGTCCACCACACTGCTTCTGTGGTCAGCAGGTCCTGGTCTCTGCTGTCTGCATGGGAGACTCCCTAGCTGTTCCTCCATCTACTCAGTCATTTTCTTCCTGTGTAAAGAGGAATCTGTTAATACTGTGGTACTGTTTGTACTGTCACTACCCCCAGCACACACAGCCCTACCCACTACCGGGCACTTAGCAAGCACTTGGTAAATTTAGCATATACTTGTCGAGTACCTTTTACGTGCTAAATACAGTTCTTAGCATAGGATATAAAGTAATGAATAAAATAGACAAGCTAATTTCAAATACTCTGTTCTGATAACCAGCAAAACTGGTATCATGGAATGATGAAAGGGTGAGGCTGGGGAACAGTGACTGGGTGATCCAGAGAGGTCTTGGAGGAGTTGACATTTGAGTAGAGCTATTTAACGTTCTCCTGGTACTTGGTGCTGGGTGTTGGGTATGTAGAGATGGCTTACATGCCCTTGGTGAATTCTTCCCTATCCCAAGCCCGTGTTTGTTCATCCTCTTCCCCGCTAAAAAAAAATTTGGGGTCTGGCCGGTGTGGCTCAGTGGTTGAGTGTTGACCCACGCACCAAGAGGTCACCAGTTCGATTCCCGGTCAGGACCCGTGCCCAGGTTGTGGGCCTGATCCCCAGTGGGGGACATACAGGAGGCAGCCCGTCGATGTTCTGTCTCATCAGTGTTTCTATCTCCCTCTCACATTTTCTCTCTCTGAAATGAATAAAGGAAAAAATTTTTTTTTTAAATTTTGGACTTGCTGTCCCAGAGGTGAGAGTGCCTGTGGAGAGGAGTATGATGCTCAGGAAAATGACCTCAGCATGTGGCTCTCTATTTGAAGCACAATTTGGAGTTGAGACTTGAATTCATATCCTCCACTTAAGGCTCTATGCTTCCATTTCCACATAAAATGGGGTTATGATAGCCCCTTTTGAGGTGATACAAAGTCTTCATTTGAGTTAAGAATACATAAACAGTGAATGTTCTATAAATAACTATAAGCTTTTTATTATCCCCATTTTGCAGATGAAAAAGGTGAGGCTCCAAGAGGAGAATATTGCTTAGCCCAGGTCACTCAGGAAGTGATTGATGAGGATAAATAGTGGTCATGGCAGGGTATCACCTAGCCTAAGGTTCACTCAGTACTCGAGAGCTGGGGCTATTCCTGGCAATCAAAGGGCTGCCTGTTCTGTTCCTCAGCATAGGAAATTCCAAGCCAGGTACCCAGGCCAACTCGAGAAGATGGAATTGAATATCTCAGCCTGCCTGTCTGGGCCTCCGATTGCTGAGGGGGTAGCTGTCACTTGGAGTGGCCTGGGCAGCTTTGGATCTATCTGGGCATTTTCTTAGGTGGGCAGCCCTCACCCTCTCCTTGAAATGGTTCTGGCTGGGTAGCAGCCTCTGGGTTGTGTGGGCGAAATTTGGGACCTGTTTAGGGCGGGGACAAGACGGAGAACACAGGTTTCCTTGTCCTGCTGTAGAGAGGGAGGACAAGAAGAAATCAGAGACCCCATTCCCGCCTTGGTCACTCTCCTGCTCACAGCCCACGATGACTTGGTCCAGGGTGTTCCTCAGTGTCATCATCTTGCTGTATGCTTTCCCAGGGCCCACTGTTGGGGGTCGCCCCATGCCCAAGCTGGCTGACCGGAAGCTGTGTGCCGATGAGGAGTGCAGCCGTAAGAGGTGGGGGGGTGGGGGAGTGGGGGCCTTGGATTGCCAGCCTGAGTGAAGGGTGTTGTCATTTCCTTCTATTCCTTCCCCAGACCCTATCTCCATAGCTGTGGCCCTTCAGGACTATGTAGCTCCCGACTGCCGTTTCCTGACAATACACAGAGGCCAAGTTGTGTATGTCTTCTCCAAGCTGAAAGGCCGGGGTCGGCTCTTCTGGGGAGGCAGTGTGAGTCATGGGAGAACAGAGGAGGAAGGGGTGTGGGGGTGGCGTGGGAGTCCCCCCTAGTTTTCCACTAAAGGGAAAATTTGAGGGGGTGAACTGAAATAGAGTGGGGGAGCTAGTGTGATCTACTTTTTTACTTTGTTTAGCAATAATTATAGGGTCCCTCCTATGGTGCTATGTTCTGTTCTAGACACTGAAGATACAGTAGCAAATAATCCATTTTATTCTAATGGAAGAAGACAAGCCTTCAAAGATACTAGCAAATGTACTGCTTTGAAAATTAATGTAACTGGGTGACTACATCAGGTGGTCAGGGAGGCCTCAACAGGTGACTTTAAGCTGAGATCTAATTGACAAGGATGGAACGAGCCATGTGGAGATCAGGGAAAAGAGCTAGCGCACAAACATCTTAAGCAGTGAGCTTGCCATCTTCCTGGACCTGGACTTTTCACTCATTTTCCCCCAGGTTCAGGGAGATTACTATGGAGACATGGCCGCTCGCCTGGGTTTTTTCCCCAGTAGCATTGTACGAGAGGACCAGACCCTGAAACCTGGCAAAATCGATGTGAAGACAGATGTGAGTGTGTTGGGGGCTGGCAGGGATCTGGAGGGGGAGGACCCTTGGGTTATGATAGTGGGTAAAGAGGCTTCTGCCCTTGGCTCCCAGGCAGCCTAGCTGTGTGCATTGGGACTTCACTGCCTCAATTTTCACATCTGCAAGATGGGGCGTGGTTTCTAAATCCTATTGCAGTTGAGAGGTGCTAGATTAGAGGGCCCTGGGCTATTTTGCATTGCACTTGTGTGGCCAAACCTGGCCCCTGCGGCTGTAGCCTTTGCCAAAATCACTAGATCCTTTGTGGTGTGACCGCTGGTTTTGTCCCCACTGTTTTCTCTTTCTCTTTTCCAGAAATGGGATTTCTACTGCCAGTGAGCTCAACCTGCCGCCGTCCCTGCTGTTTTTTTTTTTTTTCCTCCCGGCTTTATGCAAATACATCAGCTAAGTGCAAACTGCGAGTCTCCGTGGTCTTTGTGGTGGGGATCTAGAAAGGAAATGGGTCCCCAGGTTCCTGAATCTAGCCAATCAACCCACTGACTGCGATAACGTCAATAGTTGCTAGGCAGAGTTTCACCGACTAAAAGCCCTTTGCTTTAGCTAAGGTGGGCTCTACCCGAGGTGGGCTCCTAAATTTAGATATTGCACACAATCTTAACAGCCCAGTCGGGGATTGTAATGTCCTCTAGACCAATGGAAGGAAGTGAAACTATTGGGAATGAGCCAGTCGGATTATGAGGAAGATACCGCAGAGCAAAGGTTTTCTTGGAAAATTATCTGCAAAGGGAGGAAGGAGGTTGTTAAAACTGCGTTGTATCCCCCCAATTCTCATTCTTCCTGCCTTTGAGGTCAGAAATCGCACTCACTGGCCTCTTATCGGTCCTGTCCACACTCCCTTCTTTGCATCCACATCCCCGCCCCAAGTCCTCTACTACCCAATGTGGAGTCTCGACTCTGCCCCCGGACTCCTGACCAAATCCGTTTCTCTGCTCGGCTAAGCATCTCTGCACCGCCCTTTCCCACTGGTCCGCCAATCGCCTGTCTTGGTCTCGCCCCTTACGGCTCGTTCTCTCTAACACCACCAATCCACGCTGTTTGTCCCGCCTTCTGGCCGCCGAGTCCGCCAATCTCTGCCTTTGGGAAGTGTGGTCGGGTATCCCGCAGCCCTAGCGGGTCGCGCCGGAGGCGGGTGGAGGCGGAAGTGGCGGCGCCAGGCCCCGGGAGTAGCACGGAGCCGGGGCTGCAACCGGAGTGAAGCGGCTGGCAGCCGAAGAGCAGGCGCGGCCGCGGCGCCATATTGCGGCCCTGAGCGGCCGCGACCGAGTCATGGCCGAGACCTACGGTGAGGATGGTGGGCGGAAGCTGGAGTCTGGGGTCTGGGCCCAGGAAGGATGCGGCCTGTGGGAATGGGGCGGGGCTTCATGTCAGGGGGCGGGGTCTGGTGTTATGGGGCAGGGCCTAGTGGATGCTGGGAGGGGTTTAGTGGATCTGACGCTGAGCTTAATCGATTTGGGCGGGGCCTGAGGGTCTGGTTGTGGGTTTAATAGTTCGGGGCGGGATTTGAGAGAGCCAGTTATGAGGGATCAGGGTAGGCATTAAGAGAGAGGGTGGGCTTTAAAATATCGGCGCGGAGGCTGCGTGGATGGGGCGGGGCTGGAGTTTGATGGGCTAAGGGTTGCTGGAAGGGATGCTCTGGACCCTAGGACTGCTCTGGCTTGAGGTCTGGAATTGGGGACGAGTTGCCCTTGAATTATGGGATGGGACTAGTGCCAAGGAGTGGAGTTTAAGCTTGAGAATAGGGGCAGGGCCTTGAGTAGAGGAGAGAAAGTAGTGACTTAGAATTGGAAAATCAGGGTGGGTGGATAGGAGGTGGGAGGACAGGGTGCAGTAGAAGGAGCATTGGTTTAGGAGTCAGAGGAAGCTACATTCAACAAATAGAGAAAAGCATAGGGAACAAGTGCAAAGATCCTGAGGTGGGAAACAGCTTGTCATCTTCAGAGAGTAGACTGAAAGCCAGAGGATAGAGTGGACTTAATGAGTCAGAGATTGGTAGGTGAAGTCTTAGTGGGCAAGGGCAAGATTGTAGTTCTTCATAAAAGAGGCTTTAGCAGTGTAATAGCTAATAAGATCTTGGACCCTGGAGCCAGTTGGCCTGGGTTTGAATCCCAGCTTTGCCTAGCTGTAGGCCTTGGGCAAGTCAGTTAACCTTTCTGGCCTTAGTTTCCTCATCTGGGAAAATGGGGATAATTCTTAGCACACCTCCCTCGTCGAGTTTTCCTAAGGATTAAGTGAGCCGTTGATGTAGGTAAAGAACTTTAGAACTGTGTCTGGTACATGGTAAGCATTACATGGGAATTATCTGTTCCTGTTGTTACCCACTGTCTGCCTGTGTCTGTTTCTCTCCTTGTGACTGTGATGGCCTCTTGGTTTCCATATTTTCTCCTGTATCTTTCATTTTGTCTGGGTTTTCCTGATATTGGCTCCATCTGCTCAGACTTCCTCTTCAAATTCCTGGTGATTGGCAGTGCAGGAACTGGCAAATCATGTCTTCTTCATCAATTCATTGAGAATAAATGTGAGTGTCTGGGAGTGGTCCCGGGAGCACTGAACAGTGGGCATGGGCATGGCATGGGCAAGTGGGCAGTGGTTGGGGTGGGCAGGGCTGGCCATAGGTACAACTCAAGTGCTGGCTGCCTGGTCCTTGCTGTGGTATATGCTCTTTGCTAGGTCTTCCTTGAGCCTCAGTTGCCCCAGCAATGAGAATGGGTTTGTACAGATTGAGGAGGCCTTGGAGGACAGAGAATTCTCTGAGCCCCTGCACTGCCTCTTTTCGCCCTCCCACTACTCCCAGTCAAACAGGACTCCAACCATACGATCGGAGTGGAATTCGGATCTCGGGTAGTTAACGTGGGTGGGAAGACTGTGAAACTACAGATTTGGGACACGGCTGGCCAGGAGCGGTTTCGGTAAGTGGGCTGGGCTCCCAAGGAGAGAAAGGGTGTGGGGGAGGAGGGAGGAGAGAGGAGAGAAAATGGGAGAGAGACGTGTGCAGAGACACTTGGAGATACAACGTTAGGAGGAAGGAAACCCTGAAAGGGTAGGCAAGGGAGTGAGAGAGACAGAGACTGAGTAGCAGGTACATATAGCCAAAGAGTGGAGCCCTGGAGAGAGGATGACAGAGACAGTAAGAGAAAAAGAGACGGAGAAAGGAGTGTAATAAAGAGTAAGAGAGCCAGGGAGAGACTGTGGTAGTTAGACCCATATGGCTGGAGGGATGGAGCTTGTGCCCACGGAGAGACCAGGCCTGAAGAGAAAGACACGCTTGGGCATGAGAAGGTAGAGATTGAAAGAGAGCGACTAAAACAGACAGAGAGACACTTGAAAGAGATACACTCAGAGAAGGAGAGAGAAAGAGAGACAGAGAGAGAGGAAGAGAAACATAAGGGAGATGAGATGGAGAACAGAGACAGGGAAAGGGGGACAGGTGTGGCAGAGAGACGGAGAAATCTCTCTCTGTTGGTGGGAGAGAAATGAGTAGGGCTCAGCACACAGTATGTCTTCAGGAAATGTCTGCAGAAAAGGTGATAGACACATAGAAATCCTGAGTCTGAGGAAGAGACAGGAGAGAAATGAGAGAAAACAGTCCGTGAGGAAGAGCTGCTACTTTACTAGTCGTTAATTATGTGAGGTGCATAGAGGCGAGAGACCGAGAGAGAGGGTGAAGGAAAGACAGGTGTGTGACACGAATTGGGTTTGCAGTAAGTGCTCAATATATGCTTTTGGAATGATTGCATGAGTTCTAGAGACCCAGACTGGTGACACAGGGAGACGCAGACAGTTGACCACACTGGGAAGGGGGCCTCCCTCAGACACAGCAGGAGAGGGATAAGTGGATGTAGCTGCATAGCCTCTAGCCAGGACTAGGCAAAGGGGAGATGACAGAAAATGTTGAATGAATGAATGAATACTGGGAAAGCAAGAGTGAGCATGAGTGAGCTAGAGCCAGAGATAGATAGAGACAGAGAGAAACAGATATTTAAAGACACATACACATAAGGGAGACAGAGAGAAAGACAGACCAGTGAAGAAATACAGAAAGACAGGGACACAGAGGTGGACAGAGAGCTAAGTGAGATAGAGACTGAGGGAGACAGACTGCAAGACCTAGTGACATTGAGGTGAGACCAGACCATGCCAGGTTTTGGGGGATGGGCCAGCAGTGAAGGCGGGGCCTCCGAACCACCAGCTTCTCTCTGCAGAGGGAGGTAGTCTTGGGGCAGACCCCGGCCTCTGAGGTGACTCAGTGCCCCTGGCCCCACAGGTCGGTGACACGGAGTTACTACCGAGGAGCTGCTGGAGCCCTGCTGGTGTACGACATCACCAGGTGGGTGTACAAAGTGGATGGGGTGGGATCTGGGTGGCCCCTCTCCTGTGTCCATCTCCCCTTTTTTTCCTTCTCCACAGCCGGGAGACTTATAACTCGCTGGCTGCCTGGCTGACAGACGCCCGCACGCTGGCCAGCCCCAACATTGTGGTCATCCTCTGTGGCAACAAGAAGGACCTGGACCCTGAGCGTGAGGTCACTTTTCTGGAGGCCTCCCGCTTTGCCCAGGAGAATGGTGAGAGCCATAGGGTGGGTGGCAGGGATAGAGGGTAGTCCACTGGGGCTGTGGGCCTCCTGGCTCTCTATGGCTGTGCCCAGCAAGGGAATTTGGAGATTTAGAGAGGTCTGAGTTTAAATCCGATTGTTGCCACATGTGACTGCTCTGGTCCTGTTTCCTCATCTAGAAAGGGGGGCTCACGGTGTTTGTGTCTCACATCCTGCGTGATGGTTAAGGGGCATGGTTCATTGAAAGCCTTCAGCATCACCTGGATGGAGTGGGTACTTGATAATGTTGGCTGCTAAGAAGGTTCCAACCACCATGGTGAGGGCGCAGGGTATTGGTATAAGGTAGAAACTGCAGGCTGCAATGGCCCTAGGGGACAAGTACGTTTTGTGATTAAAGGAGATAGTTTGGGGTTGATCCAGCGTTAGCCGGCACTGGCACTGGGGAGTGGACAAGACTGACAGCCGTGTTAAAAGGAGTGCAAGTACAAACCCATTTGAAAAATGTCATGTTGGCCAAATGCCTTCTGGCTTATGGACTATCCACGTTCCTCCAGTTTGTAACCTCCAGGTTAAGAGGAGGTGTTGCCATAAGAAAGATGTGGGTTTCAATCCTGGCTCTTAATTTACTGTGAGGCCTTGGCACGTGACTGACAGGTGACTTGTGGTGGACCTGGGCCTTGCTAGATGGTGCTGGGGACAAGGTGATGAAGAC